TCGATACGATCAACTGGTGACCGGTTTTGGGGGTACTTGCCTCATCATCAGTACCGGGCATGGTCTCTTCAGAACATAAAATATTCAAAAAACACACTTCAATGTGAGATTTTTTCACTTGGAAGTTAACAAAATTGTGACACGTGTTTCGTTATACGATATCATCTTCAGTCGTGTCTATATACACACACGCACGCTTGAATAAGCTGTTTTATAGCGAAACACATGTTGCATTTTGTAAAATTGTTTACTAAAAATCTCACAATAAAGTGTTTCTTGAATATATTACAAATTGATGTTCAAAAGATACCATATCAACAAAACTCAAGTTTGCGATCTCAATTAGATTAAAAAAATATTCAGTATTTGGATGACTGACAGGTTTTTTTATATTATTCTGAGTTGATAATTTACAACAAAAAATAAGTTTTGGAAAGAAAGTTTTGGGAATTCTAATTCCCCATCTTGATACAAAAAATGTGGGAATCTTCTAAAGATAGAAAGAAAGTAATCAATTTCAAAAATTAACTCTATACAAAGATGTGTGCATCATGCACAGAAGTAACTTTTAGACACAAACTGGATGGAGATGAACAAAAAGAAGGCCAAAAACTTTCTTTCCCAAAAATTATTCTATCCTAAAAATATATCCTTTTAATTTAAAAAAATAAGTGCTTTAACCAAATACTGTCTGATCCAAATAAACGCTTTGAAATCTAAAGAAAAGTACACCAGTTCTAACTTTCTAGGAGACAGTGTCTGAGAGGAAAAATTTTAAAAGTACAAAAGCAAAAGCAAAATTTCAACTTTCAATTTTTAACCTTGATAAGTCAAAAACTAGTTACACTAAAAATGTTAAATTTTAGATTTTCAATGTTCTTTAGCATGTTCTATTAGCAAAATTATAAGAATTCAAAATGATTTTGTTATATTTGGTGGAATTGGCCGATACTCGATTAAAATCCATAAAGGATTGAAACACTATGTTGCGAGATTTTCACTAAACAGTGTTTCGAAATACAATAGTTTCTTCAGATCTCAACTTTACAGTTAATAGCAAAACGTGTTGCATTTTTGTAAAACTGTTCATGAAAATCTCACAATAAAGTGTTTACTGAAAAGGTTTTGTTATGGATTCAGTTCATATGGAATGACCCATTGAACATTGAAACTTGCACAAGTCAGCTGAAAACTTACCTTTGTCCTTCCATTCACATTGTATCCCCCTAACCGTCCATTTTTAGACATTCGACTTGCTCTAAGGATGATAGAATCAACTTGTGCCAGCAGGTAACCAATATTAGGGCAGTCAGGTTCATTTCCCTTCACCCAACAGATCTGGTCTCCTCTTATGTTCTTAGTTTCTTCTCTGCTGGCCTTTGAAGAAACTAACTGTCCTCCTCGAAACAAACCACTTGACTCCATCTTCAACACTTCAGCAAGAACAGTCTTACCCCGTTCAGCACCTATAAAATTGTCCAAAACACAAAGTCCATAATCTGCTAAGTCCTGCACAACACTTTTACACATCTGTTCCATGTAATCATCTTTGGAATCCAAGTTGTGGGGTATTGAGGGAGGCAGGGATATATCTGGTATGTGTTTGAGGGACTTACGGGCAGTAGCTGCAACCATATTTTCGTCACTTACAGGCATTGTATTTTGCGTGGGTTTTAGAGTGTTTGCTGTGAAGGTAATATCTCTGTTGTAATTATTATTTACGAGCAGTTGCTCGCCAAATGAACTTAGGATTTCATTTTCTGAGCTGCCTTCCACAGGAATATTTCTGGTTATTCGCCTGTTCACGATATTTCCGTATTTTATTTCCACAGAATCGTCAGACACTTCGGTCCTGCATGCCACTTTGTGTTTTTTCCAATCCCGTATCTGATGGTCTCTGCTGCAATATTGTATAACTTTACAACGACTGCAGAGATATAAATTCCCTTCAGCTCCGCAGAATGCGCAAGAATCTGCTATTGCTCCGGCACTTTCCGACCTTTCTGTGAAACTCATTTCAACTTCAACACGACTTCGATCTTTATCTTGTCCGCGATTCGAAACAGCCTCTTTGCTCCCACTAGAGGTCGCCATTTTTCTGTAAAAAATCAGCTGATAAGAGTTTGATTTCTTTCAAAAGTGACTATGACAACAATGCCGTGAAATTATAATATAAATATAATATATATACCGGGTGAGTCTCGAGTAACGGGACGGTGGCTAGACAAAACATATATTTTTGAAGATGTTTTATAACTAGACCATTCACTTCATTTGATGTCATGTTTTCAAATTTCCTTTATATAAGGTGTTCCTGAAAAATGTAGTACATCAAATAAGTTATCTTTTATTTTAAATGGAACACCGCAATTATCATTTCTTCTTTGGATTCTGCGATGAATTCTGAGAGGACTTTCATCGAGGTTACGTATTCCGTTACATTTTTTTTGTAAAATCAATGTATCTAATGAAGTATATTTCACACGGAGTGAATAAAAAATAATCTCCTGGGGTTTGGTTCAGAAGTCTTTACTCGATATATTTTTCTAGTCAATTCGAACGATTTCTTCACAGGGTGTTCACAAATGACGAGTCAATTCTTATCATTTCCAAACTTCATCATCGTTGATTTTTAAAATAGAACACCCCATATATTGTGGACTCAAGATGAATGTCCCCTACATTCGTTACGAATGATGTACCTACATCGTTCCTATACCTAAACTGAAAAGTTTTCGAGTAAATAAAAACGTTTGTAATCCTATTTAAGTTATTCATTTTTTTCTTGTATATATATGTGCCAACAAGCAATTCTCGAAACACTCTTTTGTGGTTGACAACTATATCAAGTATTTTTTGAACACAGTAAACTTTCATTATCAATAAAAGTGTGATATCAAATAAATGACAGTCAAGAAATCCAATCAGCAAATACTATAAAAAAGAGAAGAAGAAGAAGAAGAAGAAATGGTTTACATTCAAACTCAAAAACAAAAAAGTAAAAAAAAAACAATGCAGAAGTAGTCGAATAAAAGGCGAGTTCTAAAATTCATCGATGAGTCCACCTATTGATTCATGAATGTATCCGTTCGAAACGTTAACATATTTCTAGTTAGAGCAATACATCAAAAAATTTCTGTAAAATTTAAGAACTTGCCAAACAAATACGTGACATCATTGGAAGTACACGAAGGTTACATCAAAGAGTACACCAACCAAAGAATACCCAAATACTTTTTGACACCAACCAGCTGTACTCTTTTGCTAGTTGCACACACACCGATTTTGGACGGCCGACTTTGTACTGGTCGTCCAAATTCCAATAGTGAANTTATGATAACACACGCCGACCGGTGATCGTCGCCGGTAAAATACCGGTGAGCAGCCGTCCACTGCCACTGTATCGCCGGCAGTACCGGGAAGTAGTGACTAAATACACTCTTGCATACTCACCGGTTTTTTACCGACCATCCCAGTCTCGAATGCATACATCATCTCAGAAACCCTTTAGTCCAAAGTCTGCTATATTTCGTACCCACCTCGCCAACTTTATACAAACCCTGGTACTCCCATACAGAAGTAAACATAATTAGAATCACTTTCCGGGCGACACTTCGATGTACTTCTGTACGGTACCAGTACCAACATTACTTGCAGTCTAAGATGACTATAGACTAGTGAATACTGGGTGTGCGTTTTCGTTTCAGAAATTATTGAAGACCAAGAGAAATAGTTCTAGTTATTCTTTTTCCTATTTATTTATTTCAGTCGTCAATTGATTCCTGATAAATGATGTTGCCAACATTTATTTTTTTTTATAAAAACAATAATAAGTGAGATTATCGCAAAAAACATAAAGTTAACGTTCCTTGACATATGATTATGTCAAATTCAAAAAATTATTTTTGCTAGTAATAATTAGATACGATCTGTTGTTCGCTATTTGGATAGTACTGAGTGGAATGAGATGACATTGTTTCTTGTGTGATGTTCCAAAAGGAATGATCCAAATATTATAAAATAGGTATAATTTTTCAAAAAATCAAACGTAATTTGTCTCATTATTGCCCAATTTATATATGATCTTAATAGGGGCCTTTTGTTTTTACTAATCTTATTCTAGATCGAGTCATTCCCGGCAAAAGTTATTCTCTGTTCCTATTCTCCATATTTTGATCGGAGAGAGAGTTATGAACAGATATGGAATATATTCATGTGAACAAAACGCCCCTAATAACACGAGAGAGGCTTCACAGAGGACTTGTAAAATATTTTGATTTCTTTCCAATAGGCTAACAGTGAAGCAAATAAGTTCTCACTGTAATATGAATATTTCCATTCCAACAATCACATCAATATTAAATTTGTTCACAACGCATACAAAATGACACCGTTAATCATTTTAGATATTAACAGTTCCACAAAGAAATCGGTGAACTTTTATGAGTTTGCATACATAACATAAAATAATATTTCATTTCAGTGTGATCACAGTACACATCTACCTCTCAATTTACAACACTGTACCGTCACACGAACAGCGATTTTAACGATGTCAAGCGTTCTTTTGAAAGCGGCCTAATTCCTGGCTGGAGTTAATCTGTCTGTATGTGATGAATGCTCAAAATCAGAAGAAATACATCACTATAAATACTTTAAATACACATTAAGGTAGCAGGTAGTATGCGTGTTGCAGGCATGCGACATTTTTTTGAAGATACAGAATTTTGTAAATCGGAGTTCAGAAGTTCGATTGATGATGAAAATTATAGTAAACAGTGAATTATGTAAAGGTTGTGATTTTTTATATTTTATCATAATTTTTCCTCATCTGTTTAGTATAATTTCCGTACGCCACTGCCAAAAACGGATTGAAGCAAAAACGTCAGTCATTTATAAGAATTTAGTGCCTACTATTTTGGAATTATAGTATAGCGAATATCCACACACTCTCATTATTCAAATTTTTTTCTATTCCAACTGAAATGCCGTAGCATAATTTACCACCCAAGGAATTTGTCCTTCCCAGTTTTTCTCTTCTTCTCTCTCTATTGTTGAAATCTGTGAATAGGTTAAATTCGTCAGTAGTCATGTCTATGTAGCAAATCTTGATGAAAATTTGTTATTGAAAATTTCCAATTGAAAGTTCATCATATTTTAATGATTAACAATTTAGGAGAAAGAAACTGAATGGCAGACGAAACCATATTTGATTTTTTACACGCCGAAATCATAAACTACGTACTAGGAAATAATGAAATGAAAAATAAAGATGAAAAAGTATGATCATAAATATTTTGTTGATAAAAATTGTAGTTTTTTTTCTTCTAGGATGAAGACTTATCACTAATTGAATACATTGGGTTTTCTACAGGATATAGAATCATCGAAAGGTTAATATTTGTAATCATATAGAATTTTATAAAATATATCTTGGTTTTAGGTTAACCAAGGAAATGCCCCGATTCAAAGATGAACTAGATACTATGAAGTTTATCTGTACGGACTTTTGGTCTGCAGTTTACAAAAAACAGATCGATAACCTGAGAACAAATCACCAAGGAATCTATGTGTTGCAGGACAATGCTTTTAGGTTCTTAACAAGACTGTCCAATGGCAAACAGTATTTGGAAGCAGCTCCCAGATATGTAACGTTCACCTGTGGTGTTATCAGAGGTTGTTTAGCCAATTTGAATATTCTTTGTTTGGTTACAGCTGAAGTTCAAAATATGCCGTCTTGTAAATTCCATATTCAAGTTCAGAGGTCTTGATTTCGTTTATAGTAGTACGTAAGTTAATCAAGTATATTGTTTTTAATGGAAAGGACTACATAGCTTGATACCTGTCTCCTAGAGATTTTGAATTTACTATACTTAAATTCCTTAATATTGGGCACTAAATTCTCAGAAATATTGCTTTGTCAGGTTGGGATTCTATATATTTTATCACATGAAAAAATATTAGATTCACAACCTGACAACGTTTTTGCATTAATGCAATAATATTTCTGAGAATTTAGTCAATTATGGATATTCTGAACATAATCATAAATAACTTCGAAGCCACAGAACACTTTTTCGGTTACTAATACAAAATTACAATGTTCATCATAAAATCATATTGCGAAAAGAAAATAAATATTTTGAAACGAAATCTTGAGATATTCATCTCCCCCAACTACCTACACCGTAGGTTCTGGTGAATGGCTGCCGGAAAACAACTACTTCCCTGGCTAATACCACACTCGATATTTAATTATATCTAACAGACAATTATGTGAGATACTTCCCAGAGGCTAGTCACACAGATGTTTCTCATTCATCCAGCAGCTGGACCATGCTGAAATTATTCGACTAGATCACCTACACTGGTTTCGAGGTATTACCTCGTATCAGTGCAGGAAAGATCCAACCCAAATAGCTAAGTGTCTGAAAACGTTAGATTCAGGATGTAGAAGATTAAAATGATGAGTTGAATGTTTACATATTAAAATTGATACACTGAACATTTGAAAACTCATTTAGAAAATGAAATCACAACTAGTCAAAAAGTTGTAGATTGTAGAGTTGAAAACTTCAATATTTTATATGTCACCAACTAATTTAGCACTTCGGTTATAACACTTGATACCCATACAAATGAGTTTTGTCCTAGCCATAGACGAAAAAAAATGGTAGACATATTTCAGTTTCATTTGAAGTGGTATACTCATGTAGAGTATTTCCCCTCACATTTATTTATCTATCCTTTTTTATCCTAGTTATACGAGTATTGTAAAAATATTACATACAAGAAAATGTTAGATTAGCCAATATCTTAAATATTGGTCTACAACTATCCTGATGAGCTTCAACCACGTATCTTATAATTTTTTTCTGAATAAAAAATATTTTATGAACATGAGCAGAATTTTAAAAAAAATCTGTTTAAAATCTGTTTTTCCGTTAACCAGCTGTTCTCAATTTGGATATTTTATTGTTTAGATGGATTTTCTATGTAAGTAAGGAACCACCAAAATGAAAACACTTTATTTTTCATTATTCGAGCAGAACTGGAGGGATAAAACAACAAACACAAAATTTATTCACGAACAAAAACTTCATCAAAACTAGGTAATAAATTTGAAATTGTATTTCCTGAATTATTTGAAAGTTCATATGAAGCATAGTCAGGGGGCTTATAGACAACTTCTATATCATACGTTTGTTTCGCCATTTTTCGGCTAATCCACATAGCTCATTAACGTTATCCATCTGAATAATCAAAAATAATAAGTTACTTAACGAGCATGCAAACAGAGGTGATTTCGAAATGTTATCCAAAGAGAGTATACTTTTGTTCTGAAATATATGGCAGAATTTTGTGTTACTGATATGATAGAGATGAATCTCTTTGTTAAAACGCAGTTTTTCACAAAATTTTGTAATTTTGATGTGATGATTTAGGAACTTCATTGGTTTTAGAGGAGTGAAAACCTAGTAATGTCACTGTTGTTATTGTATCAGTAATTACTTAATGAACTCTTCAAACAACATTTAAACAATAATTCATATTGCTAGTTGAGGTATCTCGAAATATGGTTTATTTCACCTTAATTCACCTTAATATGATCAGAAATTGTCCATGCTTCTCTATAAAAACATTATTATCTTTGTTACTGAAGATATGTATTAACGTAAATTACAAATCAGTGATAGGTATATCTCGTTTAGAAAAAAGAAATAACATTTGCTCTAATACTGAATCTTGGAGAACCCCAAGATTGATGTCAAGACAGCTTGAATTTGTTTTTTTTTTTCTGAAATAAAAAATCCAACAGGACATTCCTCCGATTTCACAATCATGTCTTGTGATGTATGTACTCAATCTGTAAGAATTGTTGAAAATGGGTACATATATTGTTCACAATGCTGTAGCGTTCAATCCATTATTAAACGATTTTAAGACAAAATTAAAATACTTACTCTTGAGCAAATAAGGATATTTATATAAATTAGTATGTTTACATATGTACAATATTTCTAATTACATTATTCAACAGTTTGGCTTTTGACTATGGTAAGCAATGAGGCCAAATCAGCGAACACATTATATTTCAGTAAATGGCTGATTTCATATCCAAGTCACTTTTTAAGATATTCAAGCACCAAATTAATCTGACTCCACCATTCTTCGAACTCCTTTACATTGTCCGACACCAGGAAGTACTTTCTCACCGGCTGCCGATAGCCTTCAACCTTCATATCCAGAGCAAAGGATCTTTTTGGCCAAGGACATAGGTCATTTTTCACCTCCTGGAGTTGGTGGCAGTTGGCGTCCAAGAGATTCATCTCTCCTAGAGGCTCTGTAACCTGCTCCTCGGAAGGATGGTTCCAATATTTAAGCTTGCAACCGTCTAGAACGCACCATCTATTATTCCAGAGGGGAAGGCGATTGTGTTCTTCCACCCCTAATGTCAGAAATCCCTTTTTCATCACCGGTATTTTTAGAACTGTTTCTACCTCCGCCCCGAAAGTATTCGATAACAAAGACCAACGTGGCATATCTGTTAATTTGAAGCAGTGTCTTTCTTGTTTTGATATCGTGACGGGATTTATCTCAGTTTTTCCCCATAGCGAAAAGAAGGAGTGCGCTGGGAAGTAGTTTGGTGATGGCTCAGGGGCCATTTTCATCTCTAAGCCCTTTTTTTTCTGAAAAAAACAGGAAATCAAATAAGGTTATTTATAGGAATTTCCTTTCAAAGACTTGTCCATATGCATAAGGTTTCAGTATGAGGTGGAAATATACGTCCATTGTCTTCTGTAATCTGACGAGGGCGAATTTAGACCTACTGACTTTTCAACAACAGTTGTTAAAATTTCAAACTATTGAATGCTGTAGAGGACTCCTATGACTTGATAATCTAAGAGATACTCTCAAACCTGCTCTGCAAATCAGTCTTTGTCCTATTTTCAGAAGTCCTTTCACTTTGTTTGAAGACTATCGAGGAGAGATACATACGTACTAGATAATAAATATTTCAAAATAAAATCTCGAAATAGTCGTCTCTTCCAACTACCTACACCGTGGATTCTCTTAAATGCCTGCCGTAAAACAAGTACTTCCCCGGCAAATACCACGCTGGATATTAAATTATGAACGACAGACATTTATGCAAGATACCTCGCAGAGGTTCTGTATCTGTAGAGTATGGAGGGTGAATGTAGGCCCACATGACTTAGGCTCGACTGCAGGTATGAAACCTTCGTCCAAGAGAAATATTGTTAACTAGTAACAGCTCCATCTCGTGAACAAAGCCCTAAGCGGGGAAGAAACATCCCTTGTACCAATATTCTAATAGAGGTCAAAACATGTCTGAAGACTATCTAGGAGGCATACGTACGCAATAGAAAATAAAATTTCGAAATGAGAGATAAATATTTCGGAGTTTTCGCAATAGAAAATAAAATTTCGAAATGAGAGATAAATATTTCGGAGTTTTCTCTGTATCTGTAGAGTAGGGAGGGTGAGTGTACACTTAGGCCACATGTGACCCATTGTACATCCTCCCGAGGAGTTGTCCTCCTAGGTCATCGTCCATCGTGTTCTTTCCTGGAACACATTCTGCATAAAGGTGTGTCCACTAGCCCCACATTATGAAGGTGTTTCCTTAATTGACAGTGGCCAGTCAGAAATCCTACTGTTGAGAGTGGATTTTTTCTGGTCATTACCAGATATTTCTTCGGTGCCAGCTTCCTAGGGTTGCCCAGGGTGATCCTGGCAAGATTGCAGCCTTTGATTCCATCCTATATCTTTAGGGATTGAACATGGGTGTAACATATTTGGCTAGTTCCGCATTTGTCGAAGTCATCAGGCCGTAAGTGCCACTGGGTCCTAAAATTCTTAGTCCAGCCGCTTCTTTGGCTAATGGTCGGCAATGCGATTACCTTTACTCCTGTCGTGCCCTTTAACCCACCTCAGGATAATGTAATTGCTAAATCTTGGTGGCACTCTAGTACTAGCCCTGAGGTAACACATTGTATGTTCAAGGTCAATAGGGATTGTCTGCTGTCAGTGCAGATTGTTATGTTTTTTCCAAAAATTCCTTTCCTGTGTCATTTGTGGCGATTGAGATACCAGCCAGTTCTGTTTGGACCACGCTGGTATTTTTTGTTGTTCTCATGGCTCCTGTGATGTTTAAACAAGCCAGTCGCTGTATTTGATATAATTTTTGGATGACCGTTGCTTGTAGAACTTTCGGTCCCCATGCAATGTCTCCGTACGTTAACATAGGTCTTATTATTGCAGTATAGATCCAGGTGACCACACGGGGTGAAAGACCCCATGCGCGTCCCACTGTCCTCCGACATTGCTCATAAGCCACACATGCTCTTTTTACTCTACTCTGATGTAGGTGAGAGTTCCATGTTAGCTTCCTGTCGAGGATAGTACCAAAGTATTTCACCTCTTTAGAGAAGTTTAGTTTGCTTTTGAAGATTTCGGGAGGTTTTAAGCCCGATAAACTTCTTTTCCTGGTGAAAAGGACCGTCTCAGTCTTCTTGGGATTGATCGACGGTGAGTGTTCCTTACACCATGTTTCTATTTATTTGAGCCCATCCTGCGCTCTATCGCACAGTGTGTTCACAAAGATAACTATGTCATCTGCATATGCAATTGTGTAGAATCCATTATTATTGAGGTGATTAATCAGGGTATCTGTTCTGGATATCACTAATCTAAATCATCAACAGTTATTTTACCAATTTAAATAAAAACATCATTGAATTCAACGTGGAATAAATAATTCATTTTTCAATCAAATGTATCACCCACCTTCAAGAAATATATTTGAATGCACACCAATGGTTATAAATGTTAACCGAGTTGGTGAAACATTCGTCCATAACCCTAACAAACGGTTGGTATTTGAATTGAGGAAATATTTGTTTTAACGTCAGGCCAGAATTTGCCTGATAAATGTTACTAATGTAAAAGTGTTGCTTTTCCTATAATCATTATTTTAATGATATTGTTGTATCAATACTTACTTTCAATAAGAGTAATTTTTTCAGCTTCGACTCGAATGTCTTGGTCGACATATTTCGGTTGGCTTCGGCATAAGAGCAGTGCTTTGGACAATTGATTTAGTATCTCCTTTTGGATATTAATTTGCTTCATCAACTTTTCTGTTTCTTTGTGTTGCGTATCGTTGTTCCCCTCTTCTGTTACTACATGGTTTGAGTTCGAATCAATAATCTGTTTTGAAATTGTGGCGATCGGCAGACTTTGGCTCGATATGCTGTTTTCCACAAAACTTCGATTCGAATATGGTCGCGAAATTTCGTAGTTGCTTCGCTCACCCGTATATTCTGTCTGGAAATAATGTTTTGATTAATTTTTCCTGCCTCTAAATCATCAATGAAACAACCAATCCACAATAGTATCTAGTAATACTTTGATGCTCTAATAATTTTTCGGAATAATTAATTTGAATTTCATATTAATTGAACATCAATAGGAATTTAGTTTTGAGTATTTGTTAACCGTCAATTATGACGAAGAAATAATTTTGGCAAATCTTGGAAATAATCACACAATTTTTGGTCAGAACTTCCAACATCCACGATTACTAAAATAGGTATGTGAGTCCAAAATTATTGTTATCAACTGAAAGATGAGTTCTTGAAAAACTTTAGAAAAAACTTATTTTTTCTAGGACATCACCTCAAGTGTTCTTATTTTCAAAGATAACTATATAGAAACATTATACAGCCTCATTTTGATTACTGTTCTAGTCTTCTATATCTCTTGGACAAAAACAACAAACAAAAATTACAAAGTCGAGCAATGCGAATAATCTTGATGTGTAATAGATATACTCCCACCACAAAGAATTTTTTACCAAGTTACTTCGATTCTTTTATTACATACATAATAATCTAATCCATCGTTATGATACAATGACTAATATAAGTTTCATGTAGCGAGAACCAAAACTAAAAATTCTATGAAATCATTATTTTTAGATGATTGAAATTTCTACTAATGAAATGAAATAAAAATAGATAAAAACAATTTTTATATCAATCTGTTGAAATCTGTATAAAAATAAACATACAGTGGGTAAAAACCAAATGGAATAAATTCATTACTTTGGTTACTGTACATATTAAAAAAAATCCTGAAAAACGTCAAATGTAAATTATAATTTGACATTTTTTAACGTAAAAATGCCACAACTACCTTCAATCCCTTCAAATGACAGGTACAATCCCTGATTTTTTAAGTGGGAAGTATAGAATTGTGATATATCGTTTGAAATGTCTCTTCATTCTCTATTAAAAAATATTATCGCTTTCGGTCGCGTGACCGACCTAATCACAAGCGTTATTCGTTCTTTAAAGTTATTCAAATCTGAAGGTTAAGTTTTGTACATATCCCCATAAAAAGACATCTAATGATGAAAGATCAGGTGATCGCGCTGTCCATTTAATCGATCCTCGCCTCTCTATCCACCGATTGGGAAATGTATCAAGGTATTGCCGGATATTAACTTTGTAATTTGGTGGTGCTCCATCCTGCTGAAACCATATCGTATTCACTGGAACTTGAGGGTTTCCTGGATCAGGATATAAATTTGCTAAACTTGGAATGACATCATTTTGAAGTAGTGCCAAATAATTATCGTCATTCAAGTTGCTCTCAATGAAAAAGGGACCAATGATATGGTTTCCTACAATCCCTGCCCAAACATTAACCTTTTAAGGGTATCCACTGAGGATTTTCCGTTGACCAGTAACGACAATTTTGCCGATTAGCATGATCATTAAGAGACATCAGAAAACATAACGTCTTCTAATTGGATAATATTGTTATCCAGCATGTCCATCATTTGTGAGTAAGTGTCATTTTATAGTGATGCATTGTATTCTCTTTTAATATGTTTACTATCGTATGGCTAACATTGAATGTATTGGATGCCTGTCTACTCGATGTATGTGGGTTTTCCTCAAACTCAAGCATCACATCCAATCTGCGTTTATCACTCATTGCATTGGAAGCTGCTTTTTTATCTGCCCCACATAACCAAGCTGGCAAAACTGCTTCTCCATTTTGCTTATTGTTCCTTGAGATATGGGCAGTAAATTGGGAAATTTCTCATGAAATAGGCGAGCTACTTCCTGTTGAGTTCGGATTGTATCTCCGTAACCAATCATTTGTGAAGCTGTTATTTTATGCATTTCCGTTGAGCTGTATCCATTTGTCAGACTTGAAGTTAACGAACTTTAAACCGTTGAATTATAATTTAAATTTGACGTGTTTCGGGATTTTATTAAAATATGTAGGTACCTACCGTAACCGAAATAATTAATTTATTCCATTTGGCTTTTACACACTGTACAAATGTGTGTGTATATAAATTGAAAAGTATTTTAAAATGTAAAAACAAAAGAAAGTAAAAATTCGAAACTGGAGTCGAGAAAATATAATCACCAGATAATAAAGTTACATTTTATTAGTCATAGAAAAATAATGTTTATTCACTCACCTGATCAAATTGAGAACTCTTTGTACTGCTAAGGGTAAGGTTCATCAATTCCTCGCCCAATGCTACTCTTAAAAATTCCTGTTGATCGTAATCTTCTACAGATTCAGTTGTTTCTGAACAATGTAACACGTCAAAAGAGTTTCTCTTAGAATCAAGAGTATCATCCGATTTATCAAACCCACTGTCGGAACTGGTTCTAATCTTATTTATTTTCCTCCGTTGATTAAATTTTTGGGTAGTTTCAATCGATCCTTGGCAATCCAATGAGCCAAAAGGCTTAGATTTCAGAAGCTCGCACGACTGATTCAAGCCACTATCGGTACTAGTTCCATAGAAATCGATTTTTCCAACTTTTTCCTTCGCGTACATTGATTTTCCGTCACACCGATGTCCATCTAAGTCACTTGAAAAATCGTTCCTTGAATCGCTGAGATTGCTATTTTCTGTTTTTATATGAAAGGAAACGTCCTCACACGAATCCATATGAACATTTCGCTGCTTCCTATTGATCTTGCGCTGCTTTATGTGGTTCATTGCTTCCTCATATTTGGTCGTTACGATCTGATGGACCACAGAAGGAACTTGTACTTCATTTGGTGGATTTGGAGCGATATCCAAAACCGTTGGCACTACTGGAGGTAACTCTGATCGAGAAACTTGACTGGAATTATTCCTAATTCGTTTGTAGGCTGATTCATTGGATATTGAAGAGCTTCTATATAATTTGTTACATTTTTTTTCTCCCAGTAAAATTGTTGAATTCTCCGATGGTTGGGCACAAGCATCTTGGAACAAATCTGTACGCAACGACGGCCGTTTCTCATTGCTGAGCTTCTCCGCCGGCTTCTCAAAAATCTTCACCAAATCGGCTACCCGCTTTCTAGGCTGGGGTGAAGATTTGGAGTTGCTTAATGCAGACACCTTCGGTTCATGGAAAGATTCGTGAGAATAGTCGTTTTCTTTTTGTGAATTTGTGGTTGAGTGATTTCTTTGTAAGTGTTCTAGATTTTCGATATCAGTTGTATTTTCGAGATCCTTTCCTTCTATTTTGGAGCATGTTTGCATTTCCTTCCTGTTATCGATTTCCAAAGGTGCAGGCAGTTTTGATACAGATATATCTGTGTCATCAACATCTTTAAAAGTTACTGACTTCTTTGTTTTTATATTTTTTTTATTACCATTACTCAATATTCCATTTTCAAATAGTTCTACAAGTTTTTTTACATCGAAATCTTCAGAACTCTTTCTGGAAACAGCTTCACATTGGGTTTCCACAGGTTCAGCAAACGAATTAGCTTGGAAAGTATTAAGTTTTCGTTCTTCTGTGTGATCAGTATTTTTTAAATTCGTTGAGAAATTACTTTTCGAGGTTGTTTGATGTCCACCAGAGTCCAATATTTTATTTTCAATCGGTTCAACGTTTCGTTTTGAATATTCCAACTTGATCTTAACGTCGAAAGTACCTGCCTTTGGTATCTGAAAATTATTGTTGCTGGTCGTCTCTCCATTTTTTTGGGATGTTACTATGTCATTGGATTTGGTGGACTTATAGACGAAGCTATCGGAACGGTCACATATGTGAACGATTGAATCTAAAAAAAATTACTTATCAGAAATGTCATGTTGAAAAAACAGAGTATGCTTTCAGTGCATATACATTATGTAATTAGTGTTTTAGTGTAAAATACAGTACCTATTATTAGAGTGACTTTATTGATCCACCAGATGGGAGCTCAAATCATTTGGGTTCAACACAACAAATTACTAAATAGAACATTCTTCGTGAAGTATACTTTGAATCGACTCAGTAACTTACCGGGTTTTCCCTTCTATACCTGTATAGTCCTCCATTACAATTTTTTTTCAGATTGTGGATAGTGGAAATACCCAAAAAGGTAGACTTTCGTTTATTATATGAACTTTGAATTAATTTTAAATTAGAAAAATTATATTGAAGTAGAGAATATTACTGGAGTTGTTCCCAACACCAAATCGTTATTTCGATCACCAAGTGATCATCTTCAAAGAGGAAGATTAAAACTCACAATCGTAAGTAGAATTTGTTCTCAAATAAATCGAGTTAATGATTAAGCTTCAATAGGTTTTACGCCCAGGCTCCCATTTATTCGTTTTTGTACCTTAGTAGAAGTAGAATTTTCACCGTCTGGCGTAAAAAGAATCTACTGAAAACACATTTTTTCTTCGTCAGAAAAATAAATTCTCTCTTCTTCGCTCATCAAGTTAGCATGATCAGGAGTCAAGGCATTCTCTGATGATGTCAAATTGGTTAGCGAAACACGCGTTGGGTCGTAGTATTTTTGTTCAGGTGGGGGAAAAGATAAATGAAGAAAATGCTGTGAAAGGTTATCATCCACTGATATATCATGGAGATCAATGTTACGAGATATAATATTGAAAATAACTCATCAATCCGAAGTATCCAGAGATGTTGAGTTTCAAGAGATCACAGTTGAATGTATCAAATTGCCTCTTCGATATAAGAAAATGAAAGAGAACAGAACCGAAAAATGAAATAGTAGATTCTTTTGATGAAAATGAAAACCTAGAAGAAGAAGATGACTTCCAATTAGATTGCAATAGAGATCTGAAAGAAAGGTAATGTTGAGACTGCTTGCACGTTGAGGAACAATCAAGACATAAAAAAAAATGTTTTCCAATAACCAGCTTCGTCCCCCTACGAAGGACAACTCTCAGAAGTCAAAACTTGGTCGAGTTGGGGACTTACGAGGTCTTATCTTTCAACGTCGGTCGGTCGGTAGCCAAACGGTTCGGCGTGGGTGCTTTGTTCACTCACTCGAATTGACTGCCGTGTTGGTCGGTGGTTCAAGCCCTAGTCTGAACGATCGATCTTCACTTGCTATCGTCCAACCCGTGTTAGGAATCACACGTTTGAACAGACACGAAAAATAAAATAGTAGAAGGGAGTTCTCTTGATGAAAATGAAAGCCTAGAAGAAGAAGAAGAAGAAGATGATTTCCAATTAGATTGCACTAGAGATCTAAAAGAAAGGTAATGTTGAGACGTTGCACGTTGAGGAACAATCACCATATGAAAAAACAAATTTTTTCCGATAACCAGCTTCGTCTCCCTACGAACGACAACTCTCCGAAGTCAAAACTTGTTCGAGTTGGAGAGTAACGAGGTCTTACCTTTCAACGTGTGATTCCCAACACGGAGAGTCTGAGATATGTGGAGAGGCTATCAATAGTAAAGAAGGAGATACATGGACAAAGCAATGAATAGTAAAATAGCTTCATTGAAGGAAAATCATATTTTTTCATTAGGGATCCAAAGTTAGCGTGTTCTGCGCAAACCAAAGTACTCGTTTTAGGACGTATGTAACCTTTGCGAAAATTATAAATATTGGACCTAAAGCTCCGGAAGAAGGACTTTCTTTTGGGAAATTTCCTCCTCTTATTGAACCTTTTTTCAAATTTGAAAAATGTCAAACAGTTTTTGAGATCCCCATTTCTTTCAGTTAATTGTGTATAACCTTTGCAATTTTTGCAGTCGGCACTTGAATTGTTTCAAAAAGCATCTACACGCTACTCCGAATCAAATGACACTTCTTTTATATTTTTCAAAGCACCTAATTAGCACTTTATTACCACGCTAAGTATTCGTTCTCGTTTTCGAGAGACCTGATTCTTAGATCATTTGTTTAGCGAAATTGGAAGCGTTCGTTTATTAATTAGAAAATTTCACGATCCTCCCCGTTTGTCACTTAATTAGCACCTAATAGTGTTCCCTTAACATTCATTATTTTATTATTATTTTCATGGCGTTGCTAGCATCACATAGTGCTAGCAACGCAACTTTGAGAATTGAGTTGCGGTGTTAATTAGAGCACCTAATTGTTGACTTCGTTACCTTTTAAGGTACCGAATTTTGGCATTTTCTAAATGCGATTTCCGTAATTTGCGTTGCTGGCGTAACAGAACTTCATTTTACGCCAAAGATACAAATTCTACCTAGCCAGAAAATTTCTACTCATATAATCTGTACCAGGTAGTCATTAAAATTTACTAACAATTATATAAGCCCCAAATCTGGGAGCTTTCAGAATTAACCAGTCATAAAATACGTACCTTCATATCTCGTCTTACTGCATCTACGGAAGATTTTCTTCAATACAAGTTTCAGAGGGATGTTACAGTTTGGAAATTCCTGAAAATAATTCAAAATGAAACATGCAATAAATCACACTAAAATTGTTTGTTTTTTTATATCGACTCTAATATGTCGCACTTTTATCGAACTAATATCAAATTATAATTTGATATTAGTTTGAGAAATAGCACTCTGATTAACGATCATGCAATCGAAATTATTCTTCATTAATTTTGAAAATATAAGAAGGTCATATCGGGAGCCGGTGACGCTGTCAACGTAATAAGTCGATACTCCTCATATACTACGTTGTGTGTTGTGTATCATGCCTATGAATTATATCTGTTTCAATTCCATTACGAATGTTTGGAGTACAAACTGTCTTAATAATTTGAGATCATAAGCGAAAAAGCCAACTTCACATTCTGTTTGTAGAAAAATATATAATGAAACACAAGTAAACAGGCGTCAGGCAATAGTCGTTTTCTAAAAAATTTCTTTGAATATACTTTATATAAAGTTCCATGTTTCTTGACAAGTTTCCCACAATTTATAAAAAATTTGTACTAGGTATATATTGGTATGTGCCAAAGTGTCTTTGTAAATTGAGATCATAAGCGAAAAAGCCAACTTCACATTCTGTTTGTAGAAAAATATATAATGAAACACAAGCAAACAGGCGACAAGCAAAATCCTTCTTCTAAAAAAGCTTATTGAATAAACTTCACATAAAGTTCCATGTTACTTGACAAGTACCCCACAATTTATAAAAAATGTACACCATACATTGTTATGTGTCAAAGTGTTTTTAAAATTTGAGATCATAAGCAAAAAAGCCAACTTCACATTCTGTTTGTAGAAAAATATATAATGAAACACAAGCAAACATGCGACAGGCAAAATCTTTTTTCTAAAAAACTTCTTTGAATATACTTTATATAAAATTCCATCTTTCTCAACAAGTTTCCCAGATCTAGTATATAGGTAGTACATTTTTTGCCTAGTCACCACGTAGATCAGCGCCCAGAAACGCACTTACAGATAACTGACAACTATCAGTTAAACTTTTATGTATTGATAACAGAATTGAAATTCATCGAACCCCTAGTTCTGCCAAAGAAGCGAAGAATAATTTATCAATATTTCTGTTGGTTCTTTTATAAAAAGATGTACTCTGCGAAAAATCCAACTTTATATTCAGTTTGTAGAAAAATAATATAGTGAAACACAAGCAAACAAGCGACAGCTGACAAACTTACCGCTTCAGAGTCGACAGTGCCACGATAATTCATTTTCTCACAATATCATTATCACAAAGTACACACTTAAAAAACTCACCATTTCTTTTCGAAAGGTTGTTACATCACCTGGACTAGACTGGATTGTCTGTACTGTATGTAAGTACTTCACGCCCGAACAATAAAATTATAGAGACAATTGTGAATTCCCAAGCTTTAAATCTTTCTCTGGTATATCGACAGGTAGAATCTAATCTGAATTACCTAACCTCTCATCAACTAGTACCTACAATACCTATCTTCCCAATGCTGAACGTAAGACAATAAGATGGTTAAGTCGTAGTTGATCTTGAGATGATTTTTCAAATGGGAAAGGATTGATTGGCGGCACTGGTGAACATTTTTCCGCCGGTACCGGCGGCAATTTGCCGCCCAAATTAGCGGAAAATTACTTTTGTTTGTGTTCTCACATTCCATGCGGATAATTACTTAGTAATTAATTCTGTAACTAAAAGAAATGTGGGATGTTTCATTGTAATTTTTCATTTTGGGTGTACTTTTGCGATGAAATAAAACTTGATAGGTTAAATTTGCGATATAAATGTTTATCACGATGTTATACCTACACTCTTCCACAATTTGACAATGGAATTTTACATTTTATCATAATTTCACAGCGGAATTTCACACCCTAACGTAATTTCACACTGTAACGTAATTTTACAGCCCAATTTTTTATTTAAAGATTATCTTACCTTCAGATATTCCGTTTTAACTAGGAACGTATTCTGAATATGATACGTTGGATGTTGCTACTTAGATATTTTTGAGTCCATTTTTATCTTGTAACTCAGATATCCAGCTTAAAATGAAACTGTACAAAATAGACAATTTTCATTTATTTTATTTCCAGTAAAAAATTTGTAAGAAACAATACTGNCTGATAATTTTAGAGGTTTCTAGGTCTACAAAAAAGTCCGCGATGGCACATATGTCTATCTTTTAGGGATAACCCACAAAATAACCATTCTTTATTCTTGAGAAATGATGACTTATTCAAGAAGCGATTTTAAGCAATACAGCATTAATCCTTATCTAATTAAGTACCTTAAATACATTGTGCATTTAATATAGATCAATATGGCCCTTTACAGCATGTAATTTAAATGAATATTTTCGAAGATATCACATATTTAAAATGCAAGGACATAGCGGTTGCGCCGGTACCGGCCGGCGGACCGGCAGCGCGTGCCTATAAATAGCGCGTCAAAGGCCGCGCTTCGCCCAATAGCACTTTATGATTAGCAGCGATCGCACGCGTTTAGATGTAGGTATATTTAGTATCAGCATTGCACCCGTGCGGAGCAGGGGCGAGTCGCTAGTATAATAAGAAGACTATGAATTGAATCGTTCTTGGTAACTTATTGTTGAAATTTCACGAAGAAAATACTCACCTTCTTCATTTCTGTCGCTGGGAGTATCCATCATCCATCAGTGGGAAATTATTTTTCAATGAAATAAAACGTTATGATTTCATACATATATTAGATTAATATTCAATTCTCAATGAAATTACGCCTGCGAGTGCGAATGATTCATTACAGAGAGTGTTTTTTCAATATAACTAAAGTAATTTCCATCCTTCAGAATGAACATTTCAATGTAAATTTCAATAATTTTTCTAGGGCGGGTCTGTCGAATTTCTCCTATCCTGTATTTTTGCACGCACATATCTATGAACTATTATACTGTTACGTTTTTCCCCGTGGGTTGGTCAATAATTGACTACACTGAATAATTAAACTTAACTTTATTTCACTTTAAATACAATAAACACTTCAACTAAAACTTCAGCTATTATTTAAATGTCTATCACCTTACTAAATCACTTCGCGAATCGCACTGTAACGTCCTCTTGACTGTCTCGATATGCTCGTTGCTAGCGTTTGAATATCGTTATCGAATGCCGTAGAAATGTCGCCGAAATTCCGTCGAAATCGGTAGCATTATTCTCGCTGATTCTAGAGCGGCAGGGAACATTGTGCCTTCGCGCGCTCTTAACTACGTCCCATTTGGTTTATAGTTACCAGTGGCGGAAGGTGTTATTTTATTTCGGGTATGATTTACAACAATACTATATAGTTATTCCGTCATAATCCAACAAATCGAAATAACTGAAAATTATGAACTGCAGTAAAAAGGCAGACAGAATGAAATTTTTAATCATATTAAACCATCCAATTCCCAAGAATTCATGTCATAATTCGTCGTCTCCGACGAATACCAAATGTATATCTGAAACCCAATTGGCATAATCGCAAAATATTTACTTTTCATAAAATGTTGATAGTTTGTGGTTGTCCATAAATAATTTTAACGAGAAATAAGCACACTGCAATTTTTATTGAATTATAGAAGAAATTTTGATATTTTTTAAAAATTACTTTCAGTATTTGCTTTTAACCTAATTTTCCCACCTTCATTTCAAACATCTGCGGGATTATAAATGTATCAAATGAAAAATAAGTATTTTTCTCCAATGATATCGCAAACGTGTAGGCCAAAATAATTGATATTTCGTAAATCCCTTATATACGAACCCTGATTTAACTAACTTGGTCGGTAGCTGGTTGGCAAGTACGAGGTATCGTCCGATCCGTGCTAGATAAAAACTTGGACCTCGTTAATCTTTAGCTCTCACGAATTTCAAATTCTGAAGGTTATCTGGTTAGGTTATACGACAGCTGGTTAACGGAAATACATTTCAATAAGACAAAATGATGATGATCGACAAAAGTTTTGAAGCAGTCATGGATTTTTCCTTGAAAGTTGATGTAAACGGGTTCGGTGGACTCGTCGGTGAATTTAAGAAAACGACGTTCGATTCAATAGCCTCAGCAACTAATGAATATGATGAGACATGACAATTGACATTAATGACAAGAACCCAAAGTGGCCAACTTAAAAAAATACTTGTGCTTCAAACGAAATCCTTATATGATATCGTGTATATTTTTGATTCATCAACGAATTTGCCAACCGGTACCCAATTCCCCGAAAATTGAGGAATTACCCAACGATTAGCATTGCCGGGTAAAAATATTTTTACGTTAATATTGTCAAATGTCTAGGGGAATTTGAATTTGAAAAACAATAATCTGATAATTTTTTATTGGCAACTTTGAAGAAAAGTAAAATGTATGACGTCACTAAAAAATTTCTCCCCCCTGCTCCACTTACCTTTTTAAGAGTTACCAACGTGCATGATTTACTTTGCGAATGCTGTAGAAATATCTGTTTAACAATTATGGTTGATCTTGACAATATTAAATTAACCTGCAATAAACAAAATCCGCCTATAGGTGAGAACGTGTTCTTTGATTTCTCGTACTTAAAATTTGGTATTTCAGGTGGCATATGTATTGCACTTCATGTGTTTCAACACCAAGGAAAGACTCCCACAAATGGTACTTTGAACATCTCCTGGGGAAATGAAACAGTACTTGAAGTATCAAATAGAAAAATACTTTGCAGAACTAGTAATGATTTAGCAAGAGCCGTAGCAAGGTTTTCATCTTCTAACCTGCATGGTACTAACCCAACAGAAGCTACTGAAATAGACCACTGGTTAAACATATCTTCATGTATTCTAAATAATAAAAGTGAAATAAATAATTCACTTGATATTATAAATAAATCTTTGGGTCCTGTCACTTATTTAGTAGGAAAACGGATCACTATTGCTGATTTTTCAGTATTTTGGGCTTTATATGGTTAGTAGTTAACAAATATTGATGTTTATAGATTACTCTCAACCGTTTTCAGTGAGTAAACAATGGAAAGATTTCTTATCGAAGGAGTCTTCACTAGTACATGTGAAAAGATGGTATAATTTCATAAAATCAGAGAAATCAGTTGAAGACACTTTGAACTATCTACCATCTGAAGTTATTGCCGGCCCATCAGATAAAAACAGTCGGCAGTTAGAAAAGTCTAAAGCAGGTAATAGAGCTCAAGAGGGAAAATTTGTCGAGTTACCTGGTGCAGAATTAGGCAAGGTTGTTGTTAGATTCCCTCCAGAAGCTTCAGGGTGAGCATTTTCAATATTTAATGAACACTAAAAATATTCTACACTATCAAATATGAAGCAATAAGTATTTTTCAATGTTAATCATTATTCAAATAGCCCTCAGAAAAATAGGGGTTCAAGGACCAATCTATTTCATCTATCAAAAGTCAATACTTTCATTTGAAAAATTTCTCATTGCCTATGAGGAGTGAAATGAGTTGATGAATGTTGAGGGTCAACTCATATCAACAAAAATAATTCCGGAAAGTGAGTAATTTTTCTGAAAATGGGTAGAACAATGTGAGTTAAGTCACTTTACCTAGGAATATATTTCTTACTCAAGCCCGGCAACAGGAGGGACTATGGATACAGCTTTACTGATACCAAAAAACAAGGGGACCAGTAAACTGGCTATTATCTTGAATTTTATTACGAAATATAGTCACAAGCTAGATGGATCAGAATTCCGGAAAGTGAGTAATTTTTCTGAAAATGGGTAGAACAATGTGAGTTAAGTCACTTTACCTAGGAATATATTTCTTACTCAAGCCCGGCAACAGGAGGGACTATGGATACAGTTTTACTGATACCAAAAAACAAGTGGACCAGTACACTGGCTATTATCTTGAATTTTATTACGAAATATAGTCACAAGCTAGATGGATCAACGACGTCAAGCTCTGCAGTTAGCAAGCAGTTACTTTCTTGATGCTTCCTGGAATTTACATTTCAGTTACCCACTCGGTCAGTACATATCAGTTTTCCAGGTTGAAGTGTACACAATCTCACAATGCCCAAGTAACATCGATTTGAGCCCTCAAAGAAATGAACAGATCAATATTCTCACAGACAGCCAGGAAATGAACGATATTTTTTAGCATAATATTGAGAAAAATGTTTAATTCAAAAACAAATTCTTTTTGATTTGTAACTTTTAAACCTCAAAAAGTCACTAACGATAAGTATTTTTCCTCAAAAAATATCTCTGATTGAAATTCTTGAGCTTGAAAGGGATCATTTGAAGTGTTCAACAAGATATTGAATGGGAAATCAAGTCCTGAAATCCTCACTTCATTCTAATGGAAACTCTGGTTTTGAAAATTATAGTTATCTTCACATTGGACATGCAAAGGCTGCTCTTCTCAACCAGTACTATCAAGAAGCATTCCAAGGAAAGCTTATTATGCGTTTTGACGATACAAATCCTGCTAAGGAGAACGTACATTTTGAGAAAGTAATTCTTGAAGATGTAGCAATGCTGGATATAAAGCCTGACAGATTCACGCATACTTCTGAATACTTTGATTTGATGATTGAGTATTGTGAAAAACTATTGAAAGACGGTCGTGCCTATGTTGATGATACAGAAGCAGAACTCATGAAAACCCAACGAGAACAGAGGATTGAATCTTCAAACAGAGCAAATAGTAGGTAGTTTTAGAATTTAAGGGGTCACCAGTCACAATACAGTCAAAAATTGAAAATTCAATTTCAAAATGAAAACTGACCTTTCTGAAACGTTTTTGTCACCGGAGATATCCAATCGTATCAGAAGCTTTGGAGTAGCATGTATATTCAATGAATTTTGTTTTAATAATTCAATTGACTGTGTCTGAGTGAAAGAAGTGAAAAGTTCTTTGTTTTACTGAGTCTGCTTCAGGTTATCAACAAAATTTTGCCCTTTGGGAGGAAATGAAGAAAGGCACAGAAAAAGGCCAGAAATGTTGTGTGAGGGCCAAGATTGATATGCAGTCTCCAAATGGTTGTTTGAGAGATCCAACAATATACAGGTGCAAAAACGAACCTCATCCGAGAACAGGAGACAAATACAAGTAAGTTTGGCTTGAGTAAAATACTTATTTAGTTAGACCGTTTTGTTGAGAAGTTGGTTTTTTTAGAGTGTATCCTACCTACGATTTTGCATGCCCTATAGTAGATTCGATAGAAGGAGTTACTCATACTCTTCGAACTATGGAATACCATGATAGAGATCCTCAATTTTACTGGTTCATCGATGCTTTGGGTCTGAGAAAACCCTACATTTGGGAATATAGTAGACTGTGTATGACTAACACAGTACTTAGTAAAAGGAAACTTACTTGGTTCGTTAATGAAGGCCTAGTAGATGGTTGGTAAGTAATTGTAACATAAGAGTTTATTTGAAATTTGAGTAATATGAAAATTATGACTGACAGAAACCATATTTTGTCAGTTCAGTCCTGAACAGCTTTATGTATTTCATTTTATATTATATGGAGTAGATGAATTGGTTCTAGATATACGAAGTCTGTTCTTCACTAACTACAGACACGACTGAAGAAGCTATTGTATAGGGAAACTCGTTTTGAGTTTTTTGAAACTTTCACAGTAAAGTGAATACGTTATGGATTTTTATCAAACATTGGCCGATTCCATCGCAAATTTTATGCCTCTCACCAACAAAATAAACATGTTAAACAGCTAAAACTGTGAACAAATGTGTGAACAGACGAGTGTACCTACATTAAAACAAAAAAAAATTAAATTGCTAATCGAATGTACATAGCCAGCTAAATTTGAAGATTCAACTTATTTTTTTAACAGATGTTGTATTCTCAATGAATGCCAATTTTTTTAAAACAGTGTTTTCTGCACATTTTTTTTAAAGAAAACATAAACAAGGGTAATAAACTCATTGTTAATGTAAAAGTTCCCGCAATATTTCAATTTTTATTTATTTTTTTCAAAAAAAACTTTTTAGCTTTCTACTTATCCATCATTAATCAAAAAATATGAGAAACTTCCAAAGAAAGGAAGAATAACTGCAGTGAAAAATTTATAAAGATATGTAATTCTATGGTCATGTAAAAGTAGTTGTTTCTAAGGAGTTTTTTCTTGAAATCTGTATGTTGACGATATAAAAATAGTGTGTTATGCAGATGATACCAATTTACTATCCAGATTTCCAGAAACATCACAGCTTCTGCTAACGAACTGGGGAAAACTTAGCAGTACCCCAATTACGGTAAATGGAACATCCACTTTGTGCATTTAGAAACTTGCATTTCTAACAACTTAACCATGCCATACAGTCCCCTACGGCTCTGAGGAATGATTGATTATCTACAGCCCCCTAGGACTCTAAAGATTTTCTTCAATTTTTATTTTTTTAAACAAAAGCATAGACACGCTACTGAGTAAAACTGAGAGGATTTATGAAGATATCATTTGGTGGTGTGAAAAGAATTGCCTGTTACTGAAACAAACAAAGATCACCTGTGTTATTCAAAAATACAGAAAAACAAATAACTTGCAGTGATGAGGTAGAACTTTTGGGAGTAATTTTCCATTTTTCCAGCATTCGAATTATATTGTTCGGATGTTATATAAATTTTCTATGACGGGTGTTATAGCAATGATTGTTATCTATTGCAAACTTATTTTTATTCTTATAGATATAAGTGCCGGCTTCCAGTATATATAAACTGGAACAACTGGTTCTCATATCAATACTTTCCATTATGCGAATTGCGTATTTTTGAAGAATGAAGATCCGATTCATACAGGCACTGTTTCTCCAATTCAGTAAACCATACTTCATGTGGGAGTGGAAATGTGCAAAGTAAGCAAGACATTTTTGCTGCACTAGTCTTTCATATACTTTATGCTGTAGCAACAACTTCTCAGCTTATTAGACAGTAGTTCTATATGACTTGCCCATTGCAGATGTTTGTCGAAAATTACTCCCAAACGTTCTACCTCATCACTGCAAGGTATTTGCTTTTCTGTATTTTTGAATAACACAGGTGATATTTGTTTGTTTCAGTAACAGACAATTCTTTTCACACCACCAAATGATATCTTCATAAATCCTCTCAGTTTTACTCAGTAGCATGTCTATGCTTTTTTCAAAAATTAGTAAATTGTTATCATCTGCTCAACACACTATTTTTATATCGTCAGCATACATATTTCAAGAAAAAACTCCTTAGAAACAACTACTTTTACCTGACCATAGAATTACATATCTTTATAAAGTTTTTACTGTAGTTATTCTTCCTTTCTTTGGAAGTTTCACATACATTGTTTAATGATGGAGAAGTAGATAAAAAAATTGCTTTTTTAAAAAAAATACTAATTTTTTCTAAAAATATTAAATTTCTTCAATTTATATTTAATTTTATATAACATCCGAACAATATAATTCAAATGCCGAATTTTTAAGAAATGATGATTTCTATTAAGAAAAAGCAAGAGACTTTTTTATAGAAAATCATGGAGCAATAGAACCCTAATAATAGTTCCAGGAAAATTATCAGGAGATTGAATTGTTCGGTAGTTGTTTTCCACAGTAAAAATGTATCTTCTCGCAATTTTGTCGGCAGCTCAATAGTTCTGAATTACATTACATAGTTTGTGAACTTGGAGTTTGATGAGCATTATTAAGGAGGATTCATGTCTAAATTAATAGCCTTGCTATCTTTGGTTTACACTTTTCTTCTCCTAACCTATGAAGGCACAAATATCTTTCATCATTTTACAGGGATGATCCTAGAATGCCTACTGTACGGGGAGTTTTGCGAAGAGGTATGACAGTGAAGGGGTTGAAAGAATTCATTATAGCCCAAGGATCAAGTCGATCTGTAGTTGTTATGGAATGGGACAAGATTTGGGCTTTCAATAAAAAAGTGAGAAACTAATAAATGACTTCATTAACAGCTTTTCGACTCTTAGAATCACGTATAGTATTTTGTGGTAGTTAATAAAATTAATTAAATAATCGTCTAGGTAATTGACCCTATTGCGCCACGTTATACGGCTCTTGAGTCTACAGGAACTGTACCCGTTTTCATTGAGGATATCAAGGAGGAGTGCTTGAGAGTTCCTAAACATCCAAAGAACCCAGAGGTTGGCGAAAAAAATGTGTGGTTGGCTCCTAAAATACTCATTGATGGTGTGGATGCTGAATGTCTTAAAGAAGGTGAAAACACAACTTTCGTTAACTGGGGAAATATATTGATAAAAAAAATCAATAGGTAAGATGAAAGTTACTTTTCGAAAAGATTACTACAATCACTGCATCCCAAATAGTTTTCTATGTTTTTGGTTTTTTCTGCTTATAGACAAAACGGCAAGGTTACAAGTGTTGAAGCTGTTTCAAATACACAAAATAAAGACTATAAGAAAACTTTAAAACTAACATGGTTAGCTGAGTTGGAAAAGGCCCGTTTCACACCTACCTGGTGCGTCTATTTTGATCACTTGTTGAGTAAACCAGTGCTGGGGAAAGATGAGGACTTCAAACAATATATTGGTCATGAAACCAGGGTGAGTGATATGAGTTCACTTTTTTATTTCATGAATTGAAGTTGTATTGTATTTCCGCAGATCTACTTGAATCACTTTGTTTCAACTCTCATCTGATTTATCTCACCAGTAACTATTACAAGTAGTTATTAGCTATTAATGTCGAGCCCTCTTCAGTTTATTTTGCAGTACTGTCCTAAGAACTCTTTATGTTTTATACACGAAGAGTGAAAGTTACATGTTCTTCTAAAACATTTTACTTTACATTCTTAAACTTTACGTTTTCATGTGTTTGGGTACTAATCCGCCGCACAAATTTTCTTTCCAGAAAGAAGTTGAAATGATTGGGGATCCCGAATTGAAAGACCTGAAGGCTGGTGACATAATTCAACTTCAGCGCCGTGGTTTTTTCAGAGTAGATGTACCCTACAAACCTGCAACCCCAAATACCTGCAAAGAGCAACCAATTATATTATTCGCTATTCCTGATGGACATGCCAACGAAAATCCTTTGGGTAATGCGGAAGTTACGAAAACTACAGATAAGGTAGGTTATTTCAGTGTTTTTGGAATCTTCATCTACATTTTACCCAAGTTGTTTTCAATTGATACATTTTTGTTATTGTCTTAATTGCAAATGGGTCTGATACACCTTTCTTTCTAGTATTAAATAGTTGAATAGGCTACTTAGAGCGGGTATTGTTAAACCACTCATCGTTCGCAACATATGCGCAGTTACCTGTATAAAATGTTATGTGGGTGAAACTTTAAGGCTTCTTAATGTAAGAAATAACGTACATGGTGAATACATAAATAGAAAACAAATAACACTAATAGCGGAGCATATTTTGAAATCAACAAAAATTATCATCAAAGAATGTCGCCAAAAATCGCTTATGTCATTTTGGCAGGTAACAGGTGTATTTAATTTAAGTAACTGCACAAATGGATCTCACCTGGTTTCCGATACTAAGGTGAGAGGTTGAGGAAGGAAATATCAACCTGAACTGAGTTCGCAGGGAATACTCAGTGTGTTTTTGTAGAATGGCAAAAATGACATCTCGATAATTTATTACTTTGACATTTGTCAAAAGGGATACACATATTTTCAAAAGATGTGTATTCTAAAGTAATTTTGCAGGTTTTTGAAACGGAAAAGGACTTTTTTCTGAGAGGTCAGCCGTTTTGAAAAAGCTAAGTATTGAAAATGTTATTTTTTCCAATAATCATAAGCAATTCAATATAGATAATTGAAATTTTTTGTTGGTTATTTGTTTATTAAGTGAAAGTTTAAAAATAGTGAAAGGGTAAACAATCTATTGTGAACATCAAATGCAATTTTCATAATAATAATAATAATCTTTATTTCAAGAATACGCCGACTATTACAGCTTGTAAACAGACAACATAGAATGAAATAATGTCAACAAAAAAAAAAGAAAAAGACTACATATACTCATAAATATATACATTTCTATAATTCGATTTGGTCTAAATAGTCACTAAGACTATATGGTTCTAAATCTATGATTCCATATCTAACTACAGACTCAAAATTGGAAAAATATAAAATTTTTACCGATTCTTTGTTGAGATATTTGTGACCACCCTTAATCCATACGAAATTTTGCTCAATTTGTTAGCTTGATAATCAATCTGTTTGTTTCATTTCAAGAATTCATCAATATGAAGTCCTAGAAATTTTGTGTCTTCTGAATATTTTATAGTATTGTTTTCAATATTCAAATTTTGGGGTTGTTCTATCAGTATAAGATTAGTTTTAGATTCATTCAAAATTAACCTATTCCTAGTGAACCATTCTTTTGTATCATTAAACATTTCCATACCTGTTTTCACTACTTCAGGGTATGTTTCATGGCCTATTAATAAATTAGTATCATCAGCAAAGACTGTAATTGAATTATGTGTTTGAATGATAACATAAATCGTTTATGTAGATGATAAATAACAAGGGACCCGCAATGCTTCCTTGGGGTATTCCTACTTTCACTGCCGCATTCTCTGATTCGTATGTTCAACCATGCTGGTTAATACTTACTATTTGTTGACGATCTGTTAGTTAAGATTCCTCTTACACCATATAGTTCTAATTTTTTTAAAAGTATCTCGTGATTTAAGCAGTCAAATTCCTTTGACAGATCTAAGAACATACCTAGTGCTGAATATTTTCTTTCCATTAAGTTTGTTATATATTGAGTAAATTGACATTTTGCACTGTTTGTTGATCTCTCTCGTATGTATTCGTGTTGGTTATTGCTAATTATATTACATTAATATAGAAAATTTGTAATGTTATTACACATAGCTAGCTCAAATAATTTTGCAAAACTTGCTAGAATATTTATAGGTCGATAGTTTTCCATAAGTTCAGAATCCCCCTTTTTATTAATAGGTTTCACTAGGGATAGTTTCAGTCTCCAAATTTCATGGAGTTATATATGATATAATTTCACTTATACTTAGTGGGAAGTGGGAATTTCATAAAATAATCAATTGCAATAAAAATGCATAAGAGTAATATGTCCAAAAAAAATTATTGAGGAATTTTATGTTTTTGGTAAATATATGTTAATCTCAAAACATTCATATTTGTCTCAAAATATTTATTGGTGTGTAAGTGATACTGTGGGTGAGTTGCCATAGTCAGTCATTGCAGAGACTTCCAGATACTAGCTTCTTCCTCACAGTCAACGCCTACACCACTGAAGATGTCTGCCGAAGAAGCAGAAGAAACAGCTCTGATTTTGTTCTTTTTAATTATTTAAACTTCAACCGAAAAAGCCTGTGTTCTTATATTCCCATATATCATCTTGAGGATATACATATTGAGTTTATTTAGGAATATCTTGCTTTTTAAATTGTTTCAGAAGATTAAGGTAATTGAATTTTATACAGAGTGAAAGAGTTTGGTTTTGCCGAACACTCATGTAGTAAGTAACCGTTGAAAATGGTTTAACAAAAACTTTGTAGAAATCAGACAAAAGTTATTTCCTTTATACTATATTCAAAATGAATTTCTACAAAATAAGTAGGTCATCAAACGAACCAATAAGGACTCATTTTCACAAATTTCCTGTATTTACTGAGTGAATTGTTATAGATTTTTATTTTTACCAAGAATTCCCATATTCCACATTCTGTAATTATTTACTTTTCATTTGTTTTCACTTAATATATACTTTTAAGTTTTCAATTCGAATTTGTTTCTTATCAATTGAAATATAATCTGATCCATGTTTGGGATTAACTGTGGCTCACGATTAATTTTTTTTTCAGCAGAGCAAAGACACTTCGAAATCCAATAAAGAGACTAGTAAAGAAGTTTCATCTTCCAAATCTCTTCTTCAAGTTAATAGTGAAATAATCCAGCAGGGAGATATTGTTCGCAAGCTAAAGGAACAGAAAGCTTCCAAAATCGAAATTGAAAATGCTGTGAAGATATTATTATCATTGAAGGCAGACTACAAAAACCTTTCTAACGAAGATTGGAAACCGGGTTGTATACCACAGGATTCTGGAGATTCCAATGATTTGAGTTCAAGAATTGCAATTCAAGGAGATAAGGTATTACATATTCAAAACTAAAAGGGTGGGTAGACAAGACTATAAGAAAACTTTAAAACTAACATGGTTAGCTGAGTTGGAAAAGGCCCGTTTCACACCTACCTGGTGCGTCTATTTTGATCACTTGTTGAGTAAACCAGTGCTGGGGAAAGATGAGGACTTCAAACAATATATTGGTCATGAAACCAGGGTGAGTGATATGAGTTCACTTTTTTATTTCATGAATTGAAGTTGTATTGTATTTCCGCAGATCTACTTGAATCACTTTGTTTCAACTCTCATCTGATTTATCTCACCAGTAACTATTACAAGTAGTTATTAGCTATTAATGTCGAGCCCTCTTCAGTTTATTTTGCAGTACTGTCCTAAGAACTCTTTATGTTTTATACACGAAGAGTGAAAGTTACATGTTCTTCTAAAACATTTTACTTTACATTCTTAAACTTTACGTTTTCATGTGTTTGGGTACTAATCCGCCGCACAAATTTTCTTTCCAGAAAGAAGTTGAAATGATTGGGGATCCCGAATTGAAAGATCTGAAGGCTGGAGACATAATTCAACTTCAGCGCCGTGGTTTTTTCAGAGTAGATCTCAGGGTGACAAAGTTCGGAATTTGAAGAGTAAAAAGGCTGACAAAGTAGATGTCGACGTTGAAGTGAAAGCTCTTTTGGCCTTGAAGGCTGATTACAAGGCTCTTACTGGAAAGGATTGGAAACCTGGCACAGTTCCCAAACCTGCAGTTGTGTTGAATACATCTGAACCTCTCTCAAATGTATCTAGCTCAGTCGATGAAAATACACTTCTAGAGAACATCGCCGCACAAGGTGATAAAGTCCGGCAGTTGAAAGCAGGTAGGATCATACGGCAGCAATCATTATGCTGAGATTACCTAGTCCAATAGTGATTAAAAGCCTGATATTTGATGTAACTGGCCGATATTGAATTAAAATCTGTATCAAAACTCAATAATACAGTTTTCACCATGAGATTTCAACTATAAATAAATGTTTATGAAACTGGGAAATGTTTCGATGTACAATATATGTCTCAAAGAAAAATGATGATGTATTGTCTATCAAAACACCATTTATAATAAAAAACTTACTGTAAAAACAAACTAGTGAATTTCAAAAAAGGGGTGGAAAGGTGAAAATAAAGTAGGGTATATATTGAAGGGTTTCAATTTATAAACTATTTTTTACTGGTTAATTAAGAATGACATTTTTTGAAGATTGCACTTTCTATAGACAAAACCAAGTTTTTGGTAATATATTTCTTACATATCCTAATGTTTTTTCAGTATGCAATAAAAGTGTTTTCATGGTAAATTTTCATCAGGAATAATTATGCACTTTGAACTTAAAACTTGTATGGCTATTATAATTCAGTGATTAATTGATGATGATTTACCAATTAATATTTGGTAAATGCAAAAACTTCCAGTTATCTTAGTGCTGTTGTGCTTAGTGTTGTCTTCTGAGATCAATTTTCTCATATTGCTCACAGTTAAAATTGATGTTTGCTATCTAATACGTCATTAAAAATGAATACATTTGGAATAATAAAAACACTATTTAAAATAATCTCTATTTAAAATTATCTGTCAACTAATACACACATAATTTGGTTGTATATTCAATTTGAAAGTTTTTTTCCACTGTTTAGATAAAGCAGATAAGGCAAAGGTAGAAGAAGAAGTGAAAAAGTTGCTTCAGTTGAAAGTGGAATTCAAATCAGTGACTGGAAAAGAATGGAAAACTAATATGAAGCCCGAAACTAAATCAGAGTCATTGCCTGTTGAAAACGAAGTTGCTAAACTAAACCTAACAAAGAAAATTGGAGAACAAGGAGACATCGTCAGAGACTTGAAGTCGAAGAAAGCTAACAAAGTAAGCATGAAAATAGGATTATCATTGTTCATTTATTTCAAGAATAATCGATATTTATAATAGGAATATATACAAACGGAGTCACCAACTAGTAGAGATTCTAGGATACACCCAACATTACCAGATATGGCGCTAAAACAAGGTGTTATTGAGTGTGTATTGATTTAAATTCTGTTGGTGACTCCATTCGTATGTGTTGTTCCCTGTTATCGGCAACAGGTGTTGCCCATTTTTGCACTTGGCTGCACCACGCTGGTGAGGCTGAAAACCCGTGTCCGCAGTTTACCTCCCCTGTTCTGTCAATTCTCTTGATAGGAAAGTGTTTAACATCGATTTTTCATAAAACGATAGTTCCAATATACAGGGTGTAATATAAGTATGTTCAAATATCCAAGTGACATTATTGAGATTATTTTAACAAAAAAAGTATGCAAACTAGTGCCTGAAATTGCTTTGTTTCAGATTTACAGGGAGTTGAAGTTGTTTTTTTTGGCAATAGGACCTTCTGCTTTTTCTGATTTGATTTCATTATTAAAATCATTCCAAAAAACTCGCGTTCAAAGATATAAAGATATACGTAGATCATCCAAAAAAGATGAAACATAATATTGAATGATTAATTTGTGCAGCCACTAGTAGCCTGGCTCTTAACCTTGGAAAATTTCTCAAGCTATCAACATCGTCATAAGCCCGATACATTCATGCCCTCTGGAGGTGGGAGTTGAAACAGTTCAGGAAACAAATTTTTCAGGAACTTTCAGTGACTTATCAAGAAAAAATTGACCTTGTTTATCTTTCAGGAAGAAGTTGACGTAGCTGTAAAAATGTTGTTAGGTCTTAAGGAAGAATATAAAAATTTAACCGGAACTGATTTTCCTGTATCTGGTAGAACACCAGCAAAACCTAAGGAAAACAAGCCACTTTCAGCACAAAAAGAAAAAGCGGTGAAACAAAAAGCTGCTACCAAAGAAAAGAAATCGGTTGATATCGGTGTAAGTCTTTGAATAAACCTTTATCATATTATATATGTCAACTAGATGACCGCCTTTTATAGAAATATTAAAAAATTTCCTTTTATTTCAGGTTGAAGAAAGTTCCATCAAAAAACAAACCCGACTCGGTTTGGAAGCAAAGAAAGAAGAAATCCTGTCGGACTGGTATTCCCAGGTTATTACTAAGGGAGAAATGATTGAATATTACGACGTGTCTGGTTGTTACATCCTCAGGCCATGGTCTTTTGCCATTTGGGAAGTTCTCCGAGATTGGTTTGATGAAGAGATAAAAAAGCTTGGGGTTCAAAACTGTTACTTTCCAATTTTTGTGTCTAAAACTGTATTAGAGAAGGAAAAAACTCACATTGCGGATTTCGCTCCAGAGGTAAGTCAGTAGTAGTTTAAACGCCATTGTTATGTTTACACCATGCAGTATTCCTTAAGTATTCAGTTCGTTGACAGATCCAAAGATCGAGAGTTTAAATTCTCCTTGATGCACTGACGTTGATGGTAGTTCAGGATGGGTTTTATAAAGGTAAAGGTGTATGTTTAGGAATTGATGTAGAAATATAATTTTAATTTTGATAACTATCGAGAATGTAATTAAGGTATAGTTATTTTTTCTTAGTTGGTCATACAATGGGTCTCGCATTACAGTTTTCCTTTCCTGTTGTAAGCAGATATTGAAATTTTCCAAATAATCAATTTTGTTATTCTTTTGAGAATATTTAAACATTTTTTCATAACTGTAATTATTTAAGAAATTGTAGATTTTGATGAATTGATTTAAACATTTTATTCGAGTTTAAACATTTTTGGCGTCTGAAGTAGGAATACTCCCTATTTGTTTGGTCATTGAACCAAATATGTACTTCTTTTCATTTTCCATAATAATAGTCATCAAGTTTTTTTTTATAAAATGCATAGTTTCTTCAACTGAAAATATCAAAAAACTTATATGATCTTTTTTGTTTCTAATGAAGAAGTGAACAAAACAGTTCATTAGTTTTGGCGTTATTGCTATTTATATCTATTCAAAAAGTTGAAAATATTTAAAACTTCCATGGAATAACTTTTGTAAATCTCAGTAAATACTATAAAAACTGTCGATATGCATTTTTCAAGAAGTCAATAATTCAGAAATTATTTCTGTATTATTATTACAGAATAGGGCACTGAGATGTCTCTGTAAAGTCAAACCCAGATAACCGTGCAGGAACTTGTTCACTGCCAATAAAATTTTAACAGTCACCGCACTATTTATCTTAGAGACGGTTTGCCTTATTTATAAACATAAATCGAAGTTCAACTTTGCTTCTACTCCTTATGTTACTCATAATAGCAATTATACCTTTAGAGTTCCCATCCCAACTTTGAATTTAATCAATGATTCCATATACTATAACGGTGGTAAGTTTTTCACTCATTCACCATTAGAAGTGAGATCTGCAAATCTAAGCAACATTCATTTCAAAAAGGTGGTGAAGAACCTACTTGTTGATAACCCGTTTTATAGTTTGTACTATCACTTTATACATGGTGGTGTTTTATCTATACATTTTTAGAACTTTTTTATATTTACATTTATATATTTTTGGAACTTTTTTTATACCTACATTTATACTTTTTTAGAACTTTTTCTATATTTACATTGTATTTCTTGGACTTCGTCAATAATATGCAAATCTTTGGACAATAAAGTATATTTTGATTTGATTTCCAATGATAGTTCAAAAATAATTTGTGGTAAGAATGAAAGACCACTATTCAGTTTAAGTTTGTAGTAGTTTGACTGGTGGTAGTTACATGTCGAAATTCACCTGTTTCAAAACTGTCAAGCTCTTCAACTTCTACGTAGTGCTTGTTATTTTTATTGGATTGGGATCTTGTTTGTAGGTAGCATGGGTAACAAAATCAGGAGATTCAGATATGGCAGAACCAGTTGCGATCAGACCAACATCTGAAACAGTTATGTATCCTGCATACGCTAAATGGATTCAGTCCTACCGAGATCTTCCTATCAAACTGAATCAGTGGAACAATGTTGTGGTAAGTTCCAAAAAAAAATAGATTTTTTTTTTATAATAGAAATATATTGCATGAAAAATGTTCATTAGAATATCAGTACTACTCACTAAGAGACTTATGTGTGCGCATTTATATTCATTCAAATTGATTTACCTTCAATTGGAATTGGCCGCGGTGGTAGTGCGCCCGACTCACGATCGGAAGACCGTGGGTTTGATTCCTGCCTCGACCAGATATTTTTCTTGAGAGAATTTTTCTGGTTCAAGCTGGGATGATTCTGCAACCGTGTTAGGAATCACACGTTAAAAGGTAAGACCTTGTTAGTCCTTAGCTCGCACAAGTTTCTCAACTTCTGAGAGTTGTCATTCGTATGGGGGCGACAGCTGATTAACGGAAAAACAGATTTTAAACAGTTTTTTTTTCCAGAGATGGGAGTTCAAGCACCCGCAACCGTTTTTAAGAACAAGAGAATTCCTATGGCAAGAAGGTCATACTGCTTATGCTCTCAAGGAAGAAGCAGATGTTGAAGTTACTACTATACTAGGTGAGTTCAAACCAAATTACAGTTAAATTTTTTCACTTGAATCTGGTTGAATGTAATTTGGTACTATCAAATCATTTTGACTGTCCACTCCTCCAAGCAAACTGTCGTACTATAATTTGGTATATTTTTTGTCTCACCGAATTGGTTTTACATTTTTTTATTTTATAATTTTGAATTTGGCAATGAGCTGATCGCTGAAAACAACAATTTTATTTTTCATTGACATATCGAATTGTTCTTGAACATTTTTCAAATATGAAAATTGAGTTGCCATGGATTCAAGAGAGTGAAATTGTACTTAATTATTATTACTTGTTTGAAACCTCTGACTTGTTTTCTATATTTGAATAGTAATGTACTAGTAGAGAGTAGAGTTATTTGCCCAATTACCAATATTGGGAATAGCAAATTTTTTACTATAACACCTTTCTTTTAGATTTGTATGCACGAATATATACCGACCTGTTGGCAATACCGGTGGTGAAAGGCCGCAAAACAGAAAAAGAAAAGTTTGCCGGTGGCGACTACACATTAACAGTTGAAGCTTTCGTCTCTGCCAGCGGTAGGGCTATCCAAGGAGCCACCTCTCATCATCTAGGTCAAAACTTTGCGAAAATGTTTGATATTGTCTATGAAGATCCTGAAACTCAAGAAAAGCAATATGTCTTCCAAAATTCCTGGGGATTTACAACAAGAACAATTGGTAAGTTTCTGTTTAGACCAACATACTTATATCCAGAATTCCCACTTATTTTGGCATGAGTTTCATCAATGTTTTTAAAGCTGACTCTTACTATCAAAATAACTTATGACTTAATCTTCTGCGGAAAATAATAATAAAGGGGGACTATTCCATTACAAAATTTAAATATCAATTCAAAAGAAATATAATTAGTAGTGTTTCACAGTTTGCATTTTTTCTGACTGTGGGATTAGTTGTTAATATGCAATCACTTAGAATCACATAATTTTCTGAAACCAATTTCATTTCTGACTGCATTTTATAGTTTTTTCAAGATGTGTTGTGTTATTTGTAAAGTATCTTTTCTACCTGTCATTTTATAATACTTTGTAGTCAGCGATAGTCCCTAATTAGAAGCATTTAATGTTTCTTGGGGCAATATACTGAATTGTATTTTCAATAATTAGCGGACTCTTCTTGTACATAACTGATTACAGGTTTTACTATTTTTCTAGGTGTGATGATAATGATCCATGGTGACAATCAAGGTCTAGTTTTACCACCAAGAGTGGCCTGTTTACAAATCGTTATTGTTCCATGTGGTATTACGGCTGGGTTGTCTGAAGATGCTCGCAACAAATTACAAGAATCTTGTGATGACTTGGAGAAAGATTTGAAAACTGCGGGAATTAGGGTAAAAGGAGATTATAGATCGAACTACTCTCCTGGCTGGAAGTTCAATCATTGGGAACTCAAGGTACATCTATTCAAATTACATTATTCTCAGTATTTGTACCAGGTATATTAAATGTCTTTCATTGGTGTAGATTTAGTAATGAGTTGAATCGTTGTTTGAAAACCCTCAATTTTTCAGGGAGTTCCCATTCGTGTGGAAATTGGACCTAAGGATATAGAAAATAAACAGTTGATTGCAGTGAGGAGGGACAATGGGGAGAAAATAACGATATCCCGAGATAATGCTGCTCAAAAATTACTAGATTTACTTCAAGAAATACAGAGTAGTTTATACAAGAAGTGAGTTCACAATCCTAAAAAGATTTAAAACTCAATAAAACTTCAATTTCAGAGCATGTAAGGATCTGGAAACACATAAAGTTATTGTAACAAACTGGTCCGAGTTTTCGCCAAATTTAGAAAAGAAGAATATTATCCTGGCACCATTTTGCGGTGATATCTCCTGCGAAGATAAAATTAAAGCAGACAGTACACGGTAAATTTAATTTGTTTTATATGCTTCTCTCCCGAAACTAATTAAACTGATATAATAACTTTAGTAATCCCAAAAAGCATGATATATTTATATAGAGACAATGCAACAAAAGAGCTATAGAAATAATATTATACCATTGCCCTCCCATATTCAAAGGCCTAAATGTGGCGATCTGAAAACATATCGTGACGTCACTTTGAAAATATACCTTGTCTCTCAGACGAGAATCGCTTTAGAATGTTGAACAGGTGAGCAAACTGAAGAACCAACTCGATCATACCCACCTAACCAGCAACTGATTCCGTTTGAACAGAGTACATCCACTTCACTAAGAACAGTCTAACCAGCGGCAACAACTTCTTCTCAAGGTCTTCTGAAGTCTTCCAACTTTTGATGGATAGACAATTTGAGGCAGCAGCTAATGCCTTTGAATGGACAGAAACAGAAGAGAAAGGAGCGACCTCATTAGTGGTCAGGCACTGGTGCCTAATACTCTACAAATTATCAAAAAATTGTGGAAGCTCGAAGAATGTGTTATTGATATCTTGAAGAAACAAAGCCAACTCAGGAACAGACATCAACAATAGCACGAGACCTTGCAGGAGTATGGGGCAAATATCAAGAAACCAATCAATTTGGCTCATCGGAGGTCTAAATTAATCTGAGTAAATCTTAGAGACTCGTGGAGAAGGCAATGCAAGAGGCTCAAATAGACCCATGTAACTATCTCTCTAAGCGACCTCAGATCTCAGTAAATAATCTCAAAACATATACCTTGGAGTACACAAAAACAGAAGAGACTACAAGAGTTTTTTTGGGTGTACTTCCTCGTTTCTGAAATTACAAATCTGACACCGGAGTCACAGAACACTCTAAGTACAGGGTTAGGCTAGGGTGTTCTGTGCCGGAGTCCAGGACAAATTCATGACTGAAAGGCCCTTGAAAGAGCATCCAGATAGGATGGGCTGGTGGCAAAGTGGTAGATTTAGAGAAAATTGTATGGGTAATAAACTCATTCCAATCGTATAAGTCGCTGGGGCTAGATGGTATTTACCCAGCAATGCTAAAAAAAAATTTCTTGAAGAATTTGTTATCCTCAGAGCGAGTTTGTTCCTGAAATATAATCTGAAAACAGGGGGACTGATTAAGCCCACCTCCAATCCAATATCTGAAACAATCGGACAGGTATCAGCAGAGGTCTTGAGACCAATCAGTCTCATGTCTTTTGCATTAAAGACATTAGAAAAACTACTTGACAGTCATGTTAGGGACAAAGCACTTGCTACCAAACCTCTGCGTCGGGACCAATTTGCATACAGATCAGGTATGTTGACAGAAACGGCTTTAGGTCGAATCACGGAAAAAGCAGAATATGCTTATAATAATGCTTGGATGTAGAGGGCGTATTTGATGATACGTCTTTGGAATCAATCAAGGATCAACAACACAAGTTGTAGGTTGAAGCTGCTTGCTGTTTGCAACAAGTACAAACACATTGTTAATGTGTTTGTACTTGTTGTTTGTCTTTCATTTTTTTACATATCTCATGTTGTAAGAACAACCTAAAGAGACGAATATATTATCTATCTATCTATCTATCTATTACCATGAAAGGCCAGTCTTGAAACAATGGGACATTTTCATCACCTCTCAAGTTATAAAAAAATATCTGTCTCTGAAATTGAGACTATGTTATTCAATTAGCAGAACAGTGTTACTTACTTTGATACTGCCAAAGCTGTCACAGAAGCAGGTTAGGCATTATCTTTTCTGTCGTAAGCTGTGTGCATGGTGAGTTTACTTCTAAATACCAACTGTCTCAGCCATTTGAAACCTGAAATGTTTAAATAAACCAATACACTGCTTCTAACAAATTTTTGCTTCAAGGTACTCTTGATTGATAGGACTTGTAAGTACAGGAATATCTTTTCTTTTTTACCTGTATGTAAATAGATAATTTATTGACGTAATCAATACAGAGTAGGATTATTTACGTTTAGGTTTTCCTACTGATGATAATGCTAATAATTGAGAAGGCTAATAGAAAATGGTTCAATATTGCCAGCCTACAAGCAATGAAGGATGATTAGTATACACAACCATCAAGGGAGAAACAATAATGGCACGGGTAGCAAGGGGTCCGCAGGGGGCGGTTTTGTCCCCACTCTTACGGAAGCTTCTACTGGAAGAGTTACAAGTCTTCTGGAGGGAACGTAATGGACATAAGCACTAATGCTGGCCATGGGAGCTTTAACCAGGCATGAGTATTGCCTTTACACCATGGTGGTTAAACCCATGATAACAAATGCATCTATGGTCTGGTCACAAAAATGAAACTAAGCAGGGCGCAAAGACTTGCATGTTTGGAAATAATGAAAAACACAACTGCAGCTGCATTGAAGACACTCTTGAATATTACTGCTTTACATGTAGTAATAACAATTTCGGTCATTATTCCTGAAACTATGTATTGAAATTTGTTAAAAATGTTTGCACTTCTTAGGGCAATAAACCTATTTTTCTCCCCAACTCCTTGAATTGTTGCCGTATGTTTAATGAACACCCTGTGTGTTTTTGTAGGTTTTTTTTTATATATTTCAATTTATTTTGAAAAAAACTCCTCGAGACAAGTCCCATATGATCGCCGTGCAATCTCTCGAACCAGATATGATGACGTTGTAAGCCGGACTAGCTGCGAGGCAAGTAATGGGCATACAAATTATGTTTGATGCTCAGATTCTTCTTCCTTGATTCATATTCCCACACTGTCACAACCTGTTTTCCAAAAATTAATGTTCAAATTAAACATTTTTGTAGTCGACATAAGTATTTCAGGATTAAACAAAAAAAAACTGTCACTTACCGAACTGGTACCTGCTGTAACAATCAACTTGGGAGACGGACAAACGCAAGCTAAAATCTCCCCGTTATTTAGGATTAATTGGTTTCTTTTTGGCTTCAGAAATCATAACAAAAGAATCTGTGAGGCTTGTATCTGATTTGCTAGTTCTCATTCCTGATCCATCATCCACGTCAATGCTGGCACACTCGGCGCTATTACCGCCTGAATACAAAAAAAAAATAATTAAAATTCTATTTTTATCAACCTCAAAAAACCAATTTGACATATATGGTATGTAATATCATTAACACTATGATATTTTCACATTTACTAAGTTATTGAGGCTTTCAAAAAATATAAAATTTTTATAGGTGTATGTTTGTAGGTATGTATGTTTGTACACGTTTTTCTCAGAAAGTAATAGTCAGATTATGAATATTTTTTCATGGCTATTAACTTTGTCTACGAAATGGAGCAAGTTTCACGAAAATTGGTTCGATAGTTTTCAGATATGGAATAATAAGTATATATAAGTGTGATGACTTGGTTTGATAATACAAGCTCGTTTAAAATGTCAAAAGGAAAATATCTTAAAACCTTGTTCAGATACTAGTAGAATTATGAAAAAAAAATTAAAATGGACGTTTTCAAACTGGCTTCGGCCGCGGCGAGACAATTGTTTTTCCTACTCCTACCTTCACTTTTTCTGAAACCACCATGCACCCTCGATCTTCTCCGCCTCGCAGGAGCTACAGGAGGTGCACACTCTTCGGTATCACTGCAAGTTTCTTTTTCATCTTGCTGTTCACTTCTCCATTCCTTGGTGCTGCTATCATTACTTTTTTGCCTATCCACAGAACTTTTAACATTTTCTTCAGATAAACTGCTTTCAGAACCTGATTTCATGAGACTACCTAGAATAGGAAATTTAATGGAAACTTATAATTTGGAAATTCGTGGGAAATATTCTACATGCATATCACAATTTACAGATTTCACCATAGATTACGAGCGGGGGATATTTCTTGTGAAATTGTTTCTTCTACATTAATAGATTATAAAAAGGGTGTTCCAACTAAAACTTGACCATCCTTTGAGTCAGTATTGGACGTGTGATTGAAAATTTCAAAGAAGTCAATTTTCATTTCACCGGTAAAAGTCACTCTTTTTGGTGACACTTCACTAATATATCACCACAGCCATTTAATTAGTATGTCCTACTGTTTATGTTTTTTCCAAGTTAACCCCCCTTTTTGATCCAAAATGAAGAGAAATTTAAATTCCTTCAGTTTTTTAACCATTCACTCAATTAAAAAAAATGTTATAATGAACTGATACAATAAAATTGCTCACTCATAGATCCAGTACTGGAAACGTTGATTTGCTTGACAAGTCGATGGTGTACGGGAGAAGGTTTGGTTGCAGGTTCATTACAAGGTTTTGATGATTTAGACTCTACCACAGGTTTGCAAGAAGTTGTAATGATTCTTTCTTCCTCAGGAACTTGAACATAATCTATTGACCACATCTAAAAGTAAATGTTTAATATATCAAGAACTACATTATTTGCGTAAATAATTATTTCTTGTAGCAAAGAAAACAAAATATGTAATAAGTTTACAAATTCTCACTCGAGTCACTCCATCAGTTGAACCAGTCATGATTACATTCAAGTGGTCCCATTCGTGAGTTTGTGAAAATGCCACACACAAAATTTGCTGCATTCTATCAGCTCTTCCTACGCATGTGTTTACATTTGATAATTCATCGCCATTTATACTCCAGACATGCAACCTGAAAAAAATATAAATAAATAAAAGGTAGCATTAGAGCAATATTCATTTCAGCAATGATTTTCTTATCCATATTCACACAAATAAACCATATTGTTAAAGAACACAAATGAAAAGTGAAAAAAGCAAAAAAAGTTATCATCATATTATAAATCGAAAATAAAGAAATTGGAAAAAGAAACTAAAAGAACCTGGAACAGATTAAATAGTGAATCAAATACAGAAAAGGTGAAATCATAATTCAGCACGACATTATTATGAAATGAAGCCCTGCATGAAATTAAGTAAAATTGAAATCGGCAGAGTAAACAGAAATTTTAGGTATACAGATGTATAGAACTAACCAAGTGGCAGCACAGGTTGCTATGTCTCCAGTTAAATCATTGACTGCGACTGCCGCCACTGGTCCCGCGTGACCTCTGAGCTGCCTGACAAAAACTCCTCGAGACAAGTCCCATATGATCGCCGTGCAATCTCTTGAACCAGATATGATGACGTTGTAAGCCGGACTAGCTGCGAGGCAAGTAATGGCATCAGTATGGGCATACAAATTATGTTTGATGCTCAGATTCTTCTACCTTGATTCATATTCCCACACTGTCACAACCTGTTTTCCAAAAATTATTGTTGAAATTAAACATTTTCGTAGTCGACACAAATATTTCAGGATTAAACAAAAAAAAAACTGTTACTTACCGAACTGGTCCTGCTGTAACAAACAACTTGGGAGACGGACAAACGCAAGCTAAAATCTCCTCGTTATTTTGTATCACACTTTCGGATACAAAAACAGCTTTGTCACTTTCGTAGTTTCCTATCCTTAATGAATGGTCTGCGAAGCCCCAGGTCACATATTTGTTGAATATAGGAGGCATCAAGACCTTAGTTTGTTCGACTGTCAGGACAGTTCGTTCTATATGAAATATTTGACCTACAGGGCTCTTCACTTCTGCAATGAAAATCTGAATGAGTATGAAATATTTTTCAACATTTTCTAAAAGTTATGGATAAAATTAGCAGATGGAAACTCGACAGAAATTATATCAGACATTTTCGATTGTTGCAATTTGTGCATATAATTTTTTTATGTTGATTCGTTTACAAGTGAAAGTATTACAAACTGAAATTTTCATAGAAATTTGAACTTTTTCCACAATGTAATGATATTCATTTTGAAATATATAAATTTACCAACCAAAATAAATATTTTAAATAGGTACGGGTCTGTACAGGTGAACTTGCCGGTAATATCAATAATAATATTTGAAAGTCTTCGCACCGTGCTGTGTTTACAATCTTCAACAAAAACGTCAATTCGGTATATCTTTGAAAGGATACTATATTTTTTCTAACTGAAATTTCCTTTCCTTTCTACCGATCTCATTCAAGATTTCGCAAAACAATAGACTTTCGGACCAGACTAGTACCACTGAATAAAATGTATTTCTGATCGAAACATCGCTACTCATCATTAGAATATTATAATACCAATGCAGTGTATCTGAGTTCTATTTTCAGATAGTTCACTGTTATTGAGATGGTTAAAATAGTCATGATTCGCTTCATCCTTATATTTCTCGTTTAAGCCAGATATTTAGGTTTAGGAACACTCTTTGCAATTGTTTCTGATGAATAATTTATCAGTGAATCATCACTTTGTAGATATTGTAACCTTTCGTGTTTTCGAATTGTTTTGTTACTTTTTTCAGATTCCACCATTCCTGAAAAAACTATTATGTCAAAATGACCATTTTTTCTAATAATCACAAAACAATCGGAGATAAAGAATTTTTTTCACAGAAATACCGAGATGAAGAAAATTTTTCCCATTTTCAATTTTTCTGCGAAAATGGGTATTTTTTCAAAACTTCATTTGTTTCAGACTCATCTGAAAATCAGTATTTTCACTACCGAGATTTGAACTCAATGATGAAAGTTAAATCTGTTCTATTTTTGGTTCTGGCACAATATTTCATCATAAATAGCGGCGGACACTTTCTGAAACACATTATGGGGGTAGTAGGTACCTAAGCCAAGTAACTTCACGACGTTTCGATTGTTAGTATCCACAATCATCTTCGGGTGATAACTTGACGTCATATATCGTAATCAATATAACATTTTACTAGACTGAGCATTAGATACACAAGAAAGGTGAATACCTTTCCACTTCCAACTCCGTCAGTCTTTATTGCAAATTTTATTGCTGCAAATTTTGATACGAATAACTCATTAAAGCAATATAATAAAAATAACTACTTGACATAGATTACGCCATTCTTTATCTGAACCGAGTGAAATAATGGAAATTGAAGGAGCAGTAGTTTTTCATGTCATTTCAAGATTGGTAATCCTCCCGGCAACCCTCTATTTCAATAATTTATGGTGAAATAGATTATCACTTGGTTGGTTGACTTCGTTTGCTAAGGCTAAAAATAATGACAGAAGTAATGTCAATGTTGTCAAATAACGAACAATAAAGTAAATAGAGAATGAAAAACATTCATGTTCATATTGAAGAAAAATCAATAATTTTCATCTCCAACAGTAACTGCAATCAACAACAAACGGAATTGGTACGTAATGAATTGACAATTGATAAAACTTGGTGAGAGAATGTTAGAAATGGACGTTAGAACCCAAAAATTGGAACACCAAGTGAGTATTACTCAATTTTTATTATTCCAAATCCATTATTATTTTACTCGTTTTTAGAGACAGTTAATGGAACAAAAGATGAAGCAAAAGCGATTGACCTCTGGCATGATACAAATTTCTGATATACATAACGACTCTGCTAAAACGAGGAGTAACAGTGTCTCCCAGAGAGAACTGCACGGTGAGTTCGACTTGGAAAAGTTTCACTTGCTTCTATGTCTACATTCTTTAACTAATCCTCAATCTCTGCAATGGGGTAGTAGAAAACATAAATCAATATTTGCGTCCCTAACAACAATAACCTTTTTTCGTGATTATTTTAGAACTGCTTTGGTCATATATTGGTTATATCAATAATTTCAATAATTGGTTCCTTGTGATACCAGTGCTCAATTTATTTTTCTAGGTTATGATGGTCCACTTCAGTATTTAATGAGTAGAGACAACAACCCTGATCATGTAATATCAATATTGCCCAGCAGTGGTAGTATGGATGGTAAGTAAGAACACGAAAATATTTCAACGGGGGGATCAATATCCTGCATTGGGACATGTTTAGTATTTGTAAAAAGAAATTGATGAAAAGAAGCAAATAGGAATTTGATTAATGTCAAATTGAAAGTCAATATTGAAAAGTCCCTTGTTTGAACGTGAATTTTTTGATATCAATAAAAGTACTTTCATTATACAGAGGTAATTATCGTTCTCATGAAAAAACGATTTCCAAGGAATATGTAATAAAAATGACTGAAGAAAACTTCTCTAAAAAAAATATAATTTACATTCAGGCCAGTCCAGATAGAAATTCTCTTAGAAACAATGACGAATTCATAATTTGAAAAGTACAAAAAGTCATATGATATTTATGAGGGTGATTCTGACGGATCTATCTATACAAAAAATGGTTCTCTCCGTTTGTGCTACCCTGTATATATGAAAGATATTTTGTTTATACATAAAAGATATCTGGTTTAATTTTATATACTGTATTAACAACAATATCTGTATAATGTGAGCCACAAATTATTTGACCTTGTTAGAAAAATCAGACTAGAACATATTATAAATTTTGAAAATATCTTACACTTTCATATATTTTTTACCAAATCTATTTAGTAGTAAGAGGAAATATGTCATAGGTTATGAGAGCATATTCATAGATATTTATGGATATCGCCAAATTTGCGTATGTATTTACAGAAACTACTATAGAAGATTTAACCAATAATACTTCTACTGATTTAATGGATATAGAGGATGATGAGTCTTCTCCAGTTGCTTCGACTCCCAATGATAACGGGAATGTACCTATTAATCCAGCTGTTGACAAACCAAGTTTTATTCATCAAGTTAGTGGGGTAAGTGTATCTGAAAAATATTTATAATGTCTGTCAGCACTATAATGTTTTAACCAATTCGCAGCAGGCTTTGGAAACAGAAGGCGATATCGAAGGCAATGTAGAAAAGTTTGTCTTGGAACCTGCTCAGCTGAAGGTACTTTACAAGTGTCGCATTACTAGGGATAGGAAAGGGATGGATCGAGGCTTCTATCCGACATACTACCTGCACTTGGAAAAAGACTATGGCAAAAAGGTGTTTTTGCTGGCTGCAAGGAAACGGAAAAAGAGTGCCACCAGTAATTATCTGATATCAACAGATCCCACAGATTTAAGTAGGGGAGGGGAGTCTTTTGTTGGTGAGTAAACAATAATATCAAACCAACGTTACTGTATACATTTTTTTTTAATATTCCAGGCAAATTGCGTTCTAACCTGCTAGGCACCCAGTTCACAGTGTTCGATAATGGGGTCTCGCCTCGTAAGTCGAATCTCAAAGAGGGGATCCTGCCAAGGCAGGAACTCGCCTCTGTCATTTACGATACTAATGTTTTGGGATTCAAAGGACCTCGTAAAATGACCGTCATCATACCTGGGATGGCGGATGAACGGAGAGTGACGATATATCCGCAGGACGAGAGCGAAGGTCTTATCGAGTCTTGGAAGGTAATTATTATTATTGCTGCTTCATTAACATGAATGGTATATCTTGAATTATAAAAAAGCTTAAGCAACATTTGGAATTCATTATTGAATTTTTAAATTCTTATTGAAAAATATAGACTTTCAAACTGAAGTGTGCATTAATTTTAAACAAATGTCCGTTTTTTTGAGATGTTATTTAGGTAAAACAGTTGACTATGATGATAATTCATAAATAATGATATTATTGACAAGTTCATTATGTCAAAAATGCTAATATCAATTTTATTAATTTGTTAAGATTGTAAAAATTCTTGGTAAAATAATAGGTCTTAAAATAGCTTTCATAAAATATTGGAATATAAGTTGAGAAACAAGTAGTAAATTCTATGTAAAACAATATTTTTCCAAAAACTCATCATAAAATATGGCAGAATTAAATGAAGAATATGGTCACTTTCAATGTACCTAGTAGTGTAGTGAATACAGCAAACCACTTGAGCCTTCTTTCTGAAACAGTATTTTTAGACATAAAAGGCTTCTATCACAGATGAGTTATATTCACACAACACTAACTACAAATTCTAATATCATGGAACACTACTTTCTAAAGCAGATCTCTCACAATAAGAGTTGAAAATTCACCTAAATCAAATCCATCCAAACAATAAAAATATTGAACTGAAGTTATATTTAATGTCAATAATTTCGGTTATTTCAATAATTCTGTCTTTTCCACTACAGTATCTTCATTTTGAATGAATTTGAAGGCAAATTGTTTTCTAGGCTAAAAATATGGATTCCATTATTGAGCTCCACAATAAAACGCCAGTCTGGAATGACGACACACAATCGTACGTTCTAAACTTTCATGGCAGAGTGACACAGGCTTCTGTCAAAAATTTCCAAATCGTTCATGACAGTGACGCCGACTATGTTGTTATGCAGTTCGGCCGGGTAGCAGAAGACGTTTTCACCATGGACTACAGGTCAATATCTTTTTATATTTTTCCTAAATACCTCTTTTATCCAGACAACAGGTTTTCGACAAAAGAACCTCTTTGGATTTATATACATCGTTGTCAAAATCTAATTTATTAATTGTATACAACACTTCAGAAAAGACTAGCAAAAAATTTGCAACGTCAACAACTATGTCCTCTAATTTTTCATCAAGATACATGGAATTTGGAGAGCTATCGTGGACTTTATTTCACTAGGAAACCTCTTCGAAAAAAAAAAAACATGTTTCAAATACTTTTAATGGGACAAAATTACTAATTTTTTAGAATGTTGAAAAAGTTTATCGACTGCATAATCAATGTTGTAAACGTTTTCTAATATATAGAGTTGAAGTAATTATTGAGAACATTAAAATCTGCATTTTTTAAATCCAGAAAATAACACTTGTAGTGTAGGGGTTCAGAATGGATAAATTGTCTACAAATAGAATAGAAAAAAAATGTTTTTATTTGAAGATACAGTGATTTTGTAATCAATTTCAAACAGCTTTTTTGTGTATGTAGGTATCCCCTGTGTTCCTTGCAGGCATTTGCCATCGCCCTCAGCAGTTTCGACAGCAAGTTAGCTTGTGAGTAAGCTAACAATATAAGGTTTTGACAATGTGCCTCGAGAAACAATGAAAATTCAAGCTTATAGCATGGTGAGCATTCTCGTAGCTTGTTAGAATTTTTTATAACATGTACAATTGTACTACTCCACTCACAAAATGTTTATTGTTTTTTGGTAATGAAATGTTCGTCATTCAATTGCAAGTTGGAGTGGCAATTTTTACAGAAATATTATCTCTATTATTTATCAACTTCATCATGTAAATGCTATAAAAGTAGAAGATTTATATAGTAATAAATGAAGGTTCTTCAATCTTAAAGTACATATATCTTTTTGTGTTTCAATGTTATTGAAAAAGTTACAAAAATTATAAATGGAGTAGTACCTCTTTTTAACTTGTTAAGAGAGACCGGAATTGATCATCCTAAAGAAAAAAATGTCAACAAACTTCAACAATACTGGCAAAAGGGTTTGGGTCGCTCGATTTTGAAATTGATCAACTATTGATTTTTTTCAAATTTCTCACAATTGAGAAATTAAAAAAAAATGTTATCAGGATTTTCTACTTTTCCTAATGTTATTTGTACAACATGACCCTTTATTTGGTGAAAATCAACACAATTCATGTTAATACTTAGAAGTCTATATTGTGAAAATTTGTAAATATTATCACGAACAGTTTTCCTACCATGAAGTCATCATTTAGTAGTACCCACTACTAGATTTGAACATTTTTGTTACAAGTAAATTTTTTTTAGTAAATTCACCATTTATCTTAGCTGTGATTTTGAAGTTTGTCCATCATTTTTGTTCACATCTTGTTGCTATTATTAGGTTAATTAAGATAATTTTAATTTTTTTTATATTTTCACCATGATTTTAGAGATATCTCTGTCATCTTGGTTATTTCAGTATTATTACTTTTTTCAGTCTATTTATTGTCGATTATTGAAAATTTTCATGAGAGAATTTTCACTAGAATTTTTTTTATTTTCGTATGTATCATACGAACTATTTATTGATATTTAAACCTTTCAAAGGTAATATAAGAAACTTTTTTCAAGTTTTTGGTGGTTATAGCATAAAACTATTAGGTATCCAGTTCTCTTTAACTATTAATTTTCACAATATTCTCGTGATATACAGTTATTTTAATAAACTTGAGATTAATGTTGATCCCATGATTTTTAACATTGGCATTAGAGATATGCTCTCTCTTATGTTTAAAATGATATATAAAAATCTGAATATTTTTTTATTGCAATTATGTTAGCCAAGAAGTGTTTTCAATTTTCCTTGCTTTTTATGTATTGATCGCATGAGAAGAATATTCACCGTGGTTTTCATAAACACTGTAGAACTCTGAAGTAGGTATAATGGGTTTATTAACTGTAACACGTCGTCGCACAAAGCGCACGTCTGAACTGTATTTGAGCTCAACTAATAAATGGAAATAGTTTCAGATAGATTCAGTTATTTATAAGCAAGGAAAGCCATAAAGTTGATTGGTATTGCTCAATTTTTAACTGTATGCTACAGTTTTCCTAAAAATCAAACATTCATAATAAAATTCATTTTAATAGTAGTTTCCATTCTACATCTCTGGCTACAAAAGAAGCCATTTTTGTTAAGAGTCCGAGATTCGTAAGTGATTTGTCATTTAAACTGTGCATACTTTCGACAATGTAATCAAACCATTTTAAATGTGCCACCATCAGTTGGTTGTTAATGAGTGTTGTAAACTATCTAATACTGTTCAGGTATAAGTATTGATTATTGTTGAATAACTTAAGTAATTCGATGTGGATGTACAGATACTTCACGTGCCTGTTATTTTTTTAATCATTGATGCTGAAGTATGAAAAATCTGATGCCTAGAATTCAGTTATCTTGCATTCACAATATTTATTAATTGCTATCGGTATTGTACTTTTGAAATATTCAGTTTTAGTTGAAAAAAACTAGTAGATATACAAACGATTTACAATTTCGTGTTATATTTTAGTGACTTTTTTTAAAGTGCCTTATTTTCAATCAAATATTGGTTCTGAAGTGCCTTTGATAAATGAATCATTAGGTATCTGAAAATTTAATCTTTGAAATATATCTCTAAGATAAACTGAAATCATTTAGAATTTCATTCAAACTTTTTCAGGCTTTTCATTCTTCTCGAATAGGATGACCCAAAGTTAGATATAATACTAAGGCCCATGAAAATAACACTTTACCCAGAACCGGAGCTGGGATATAGTAGACCCCACAAATTGGAGCCCTTTACAAAATGAGGGACTTTCCATTAAAACTTTCAAATGAAGAAGGAAATTTATCAAACATTTTTATATAAATGTATGAATGTGTTGGGTTTATTGAAATATTTTCCAATATACAAAGTACCCAGTATAAGCATGGTGTATCAAAGTTAGGTTTTTATTTATGGAATCAGATATTTAGCTTTCAAATAAAAATACTTTTAGAAAATATAGCTTTATATGGGTATGTACCAAGCAGTTCAGAAGTTCAGTTCCTATTTTCAATCAAAATTCTTTTGTAGTCAGAATTATTTTGAAGATGTTTAAAAAATACAGTTTTGTCATCATCAAATAATAATTTGGTAACAATATATTTTCTAATACTGAGTGAATTGACACTCTTGACTTTTCAAATGGAACAATTTTTCAATTCATGATTCTATAATGAAATTTCAGAGTGAAATAAATTCAGAACAAATTGATAGATCTTCAGGTAATAAACTTTCTTACCTGTTTGTTCAGGAGATTTGATGACTGACTGTTATGAAAATTTTCATAGGGAAATTATTTACATAAAAGTCTACTTTGTCAACTACATTTATTTGGTATTAATAGTACCAAAAAACTTTGGGCTCAGGTTCCCTATGAAATTCAAACATTGAATCTCCCATTATTCCAGTCGATTTATGGTATAAACTCACTTGATATTTTCAGAAAGCACTTTCCACATGGAAAACAAATCTAAAGTAAAATATAACATGTTTTTTTGAATTTCAATTCACCTAGTAGGTATAAAAAAGTTTTTGGGCAAATTATTATTGGATAATACTATATTTTTAAAACATTTCCAAAACAAAGCATACTTTTCCAAATTAGTACTCATTCAAAATGAATCTGGATTAGATCATTTGTCAACGTTATTTTTTAATGACTTCTGAACCTTTGGTTTACACCCATACAGTCTCTCTGTGGCGGAATCTGAATATGCATAGAAATATATGTCTTTCCATTTAAAATATCCTAACTTTGTTATGGCAAGCTTCTACTGGAAGTACTGGATATCCTGTATATGATCTTGAATTGCTTCATTACATATTTGAACCGTATATTCAAGAAATATTTCACATTCATGAGTTTGTTTCGCACATAAAAATGTTTTAAACTACAGTTGAACCCCTCACTTTGGGTCATCACTTTTTCATGATTTAAAGAATTATTAGCTGATGTTTGCATCTAACCATGGAACATCCATCAGTTACAGAATCAGTTCACTGTGCTGAACATATTTTGTAAAACACTGGTATATTTTTAAGGAACTTCAGCCTTTATACTTTGAAAGTATTTTTTAATATTGTTACTGTAGTTGATGAAAATGTATAAAGTGTTTCTAGTCCATTAAATATATTTTTACTATTCTTAATAGACTTTTCTTTATAGGTTGCATAATAATGGTGATAAATAAGCCATGAATTATTTGCATGTTCATACAATTATTAATAATTCTCTTTGAAAAACATATTTTTTAATGAATTATTATTGATTTTTTCAAAAGTTTTGTCTGTTTCTATGAGTCTACTTCAAACCGTAATATCTCAGTGAATACTTATTCAGCGCACTTTTGCCAACTTAACACAAGTCGATTAATTCCGTCAGCATAACAATTTTGTACTCGGAATTCGATGAAGTCGACAAAGGCCGTTTTTGCCTGGTCCTGATTTGCGAAGGTCCTACCGGTGAGAAAGTTATCGAAGTGCTCGAAAAAATGTAGTCGGTAGGCGAAAGGTCTGGATAGTATGGTGGGTGAGGCAGAACTTTGACATTCAGTTTGTTCAATTTTCGCACGGTAATTTGTGAAACGTACAGACAGACGATGTCGTGAAGCAGGATCAGACCTCTTCTGTTGACCAGTGCTGGCTGGTGACGCAATTTTCGGTACATTTCTGCACCTTTCCAGAAAATTATAGTGAATCTCACCAGTCGCTGACCACCATACAGTGACTGTGGTCATTTTTTGGTGGGTTTCTGTCTTTGGGAAGTGCCTGGGTGGCACATCGGTCTCCAATCACTGTTCTGAACGACTCCTGCTGTCGTAGAGGATCCACTTTTCATCACACGTAACGACGCGATCTAAAAAAGAATCGTTTCGGTTGCGCAAAAGCAAAGAAGAACAGAGCTCGAAACGTGAAAATTTCTGTCGATCGTTTAAATCGAGGGGCACCCACTTTATGACCTTTGCAATACATTTTAAACCGTTAAAAACCCCAAGGGAGCTGACGCCCAATTCTACCGCCATCCCACACACCGTTTGTCAGTCTACACCAGAGTCCTCAAATCCTTGTACTAGATTTCTGTAGATCGACCACTTCGGTGCTTATCTTCGAGGCTGAAATCTCCAGAACGAAATTTCGCAAACCAACGTCGAACAGTGCGCTCATTAATTCTATCATTGACATATATATGGATAATTCTTCAGGCTGTTTCGGCAGCGCTTTGGTTCAATTTGAATTCGTAAAAAAAAGTTGGCCAAAAATCTCTTGAAGACATAATAAAGTAATACCTTAAATGAGGCAAAAAATCAAAATTTGGAAAAAATAAACCGACAATGTACAATACAAAATTCTTTATCGATCAGTATATACCAGGACACAGTAAAATACATATTTATTTAGATATGGAGCTCTAAAAACACATGACATTGAAACTTTACAAACAATTAACAAATATCATCACTTTATGTTTCTTTATTTTCACTAGAAAAAGACAAATTATAACTCATAAATTTATTATTATTTGAAGATCAACAGTCTTAGCGAAAAGATGCGTTTTTTTATCACAAATTAGTCAATTTCGATTATGGTGTAGACAGTCATCATTTATTTGGAAGATATGCTTCTAAATTCTTGAGGTGGTGGTAGAGCATGTCTTCAGGTGGTCCCAAGCCTAGGAAAATCCAAGCGGTGAACGCCAACAGGGCTCGCCATAAAGACAGGTGGTTCCATGTTCTCAATTCGCTTCTCGTCATCTATATCAAAAAAATTCATTAAAAAGGTAACCTTTACCAAAGTACAAAATCAACCGAATTGAAAAGCAATCATAAAATGTGAAATGATATCTTTAAGTGAACGAAATTACATTTTTTTATCATTCAAGATCCTCTTCAGATAGATCATGGAGCTTTATAAAATCAGATCTTGATCATCAGCTTATAAAACACCAAAATAGCTTTACAAAAAATAACCTGAATGTGACATGTGACATTTGGGTTTTCAACAGTTGAATGGGATTGACAATTTTGTCTAGTTTCTTAGTGCTAGAGCCCAGTAGAGATTTTTGGAACAAAGTACTATTTTCAGGTTTGTTTGAGGATATAGAAAGGATACAGCGATATACATAGATTTATATACATAATCTACTAACATTCGTCACCATAATTGTATCGTTAATATTTCTCCTGTAGGACATCAGCGTCAACTTGTCGTCGAAATTGGCCGTCGACAGATGAACCATCAGACAACTGACGTAGACGACTAGCACGAATGAGCACCTTTTTTGTTTCCACAGTTCCTTGGTGCAATTTTTCTCGAGATGTCCGATATCAATTCTGAAAAGAAGGAATGACTTCGTATTATTTTGCCTTAACGGGATTTTGACAGTAAAATCTTTGTCCTCACCTGTCAAGAACTGAGACTATGCATAAAACACATAGGGCAAAAAAAAGACCAACGTAAATATCACTGTAATAGGCATAGTGAAGGAGGAAGCTGCTGTCTTGTCGATCGAAATTGCATACCAAATAGAGCCAGTGGCCCAAAGCGAGCCCCCCCAGAAGACCATGACAGAGCGTAGACAAGCGCATCCACCACCTTTGAAAAATTATCGCTACTTCGAGGGGATATATTGAGCATCTGAAACAGACCCAATAAGTTATTTACTACGTAAGACTTGAAAAACACTATGTATCCTACCTCTTTGTGAACTTTCCATCTTCTACAATTTCCTGTGCGCCTTGCCTGTTGAGGTACTGGTTGCCTGTCGGTTTGGTGCTGACCTCGAACTTATTTTTCTTCTGTATGTAGAGCTTGTCCGATTTCCTGGGGCTTTTGTTCTTCATTTTGTCAGGTCTCGCGCCTCCTACTGATTCCGCGCTATTGTCAAAAACGTCATCTTGAAGTTCTTCCAAGGCAACCGCGATTTCCGTGCGAAGGTCATAGTCGGCATCTTCTCGTTTTTTATGTTTGCCTATAGATAGTAGAAAAAAAGTCGAGTTATTTAATTTTTTGATTATTTTTTTGGTCATTTCTCAATAATTTTATCAACTGATGAAAAATTATCTTACGTTTAGTGTCTTTAGAAGCTACTGGCGAGGTATCTCGTTTCTTCTTTTTGCTTTTCTTCCGTTCTTTGGGTATCATCATCTCCCTGCTGTCACCCATACCTAGATCACCATCTCCGCCGTGTCTCTTCTTTTTCGATTTCGTTTTCTTTATTGAAGAAGTCATGATATCTTCGGAAATATCCCTCCCATTGTGGACGTCCTGTAAGGAGTTGTAAGCGTTCATCTCGTCCGTGTCCATTTGCGTGTTGTATTCTTTTCTTCTTTTGTAATGTTTGCGTTCCTCTGGGCTTAGTAGTTCTAAGTTTCCTAAAGTTCAATATATGAACGTATTACAGCCAATAAACTGAATATAATTAGAAATACTAATCAATACAGTTCATTGTATTATTTTTGCTATAAAGGGTTTTACAAAAATTGCGACACGTGTTAATTAGTTTTAAATGGATTTTCATCAAGTATCGGCTAGTTCTATTCAATTATAGAAGAAAGCCAATATCGGCTTTTTGACCTTGTGAGATTTCAAGTTACATCTAAAGTGTTCCATTTTAAACCAAAACATTTGGAAAAGTAAATTTTAGTTTACGCTTGAGGAAGCTATTGTATAGCGAAACACGTGTCGCAGTTTTTGTAAAACCCTTTTTAGTGAAAACCATACAATGAACTGTAAACATTAGTTTTAATATGGATTTTCATCAAGTATCGGCCAGTTTTATTCAATTAGAAACGCATATTAATAGAGTATTATGGTAGTTTGATGGGTACAATTAGTCATAACTTTAATAAAAATAAAAGTGACCTTTGAATTGACTGTAAAAACAATATTCCAGGCAAAATCAATTTTTCATATTTGTTGGACAGACTATATGACAATATTACAGAGCGGATGTGCATATTCCCCCTTCTTAATTTTTGAACGGAACAAGATATGAAGGTCGTAAAAAATTACAAATATTACATGATGAATCAAAGTACTTTGTCTTCTAAAAATGTTCAAAAAATTTGCGGATAAGCAAAATTATTGAGAGGGAGACTTCGAATAATCGGAAGCCTATTTTTTGGTTATTTATACTGACCAGGGGATTGAATGATGGCGCCTACATTTGATCAAATGCCTTTGTCACCAAAAAAATTGTTAACTTATTCAAGGGTTATATCCCGAATGCACCAAGTTTAATCGGTTAAAATGTGTCTAAATCTATATTTTATGAAATATTGCTAAGCAAATGACTTGTCCTCAAATTATTGTACACGAAAGCGTTTGCTTAAAAGCAATATTTTTAAATTATGGCATTTTGCATTTTGATCAAATGAACTTGCTGTACGAGATGCTGACTATATTTCCACTAAATGAATCAATCATTTAAACTTAAAATGATTCCTAGCCCTTCCCGCGAATTTTTTCGTAATTTCTTGTGAATCGAGAGAAATAAATAATCTACATTTAATAAATTCGGAATTGATTAACCTGTTGTTGGTTGCATATTCTAAAAGGATATCTGATGAACAACAAACTCTTGGAGTGATCTTTACCTGATAACTCTTCTGGTACCTTCTCGTCTTCATAGAAACTGAGGCTCTGAGGTCTGGAATCCGTGAAATGGGAATGTTTGTTGATGTCCCTCCTCATTTCCGTCTCGATAAGAGACAAAATCTTCGAGTTGATCTGGCTCTCTCCGTCCACGGATATTTCTCTACTCGGCGTGTGCATGCTAATGTTTTCATTTTTATCCTCGTATGTCCTGTTACGATGAATAAATTCACAAAAGATACGAATCTAACATTAATTGTCTTACATGATATCGTGTTTCGTAAAAGTCATGTCGTTTCTCCCTTCCTCGAACTTGGTGTAGGTCCTGTTGGATTCCAAATTGTCCTCGGAATTGGCGCTCTGGATACTGCCGTAGTCGTTGTCGCTGCTCGTGTTGGAAAATACTGGCTTGTGCACTTGTGCCACAATTTGCTCCTTCATCTCGTCCTGGTGCTGCTGCTGCTGCTTTCGCTTCTTGGGCCGCGGAGACAGGTTGCTGTTCATTTTTGATCTTTGTGTACAATGCAAACGGCACTCCGGATCGATTTTTACTGACTGCGCCTACGCTTCGTTTGTTTGTATCAAACGCGTCCTCTGCATTGTGGTCGAGATCGAGGGATTCTTGATTTGTCTGCACCAACTTTGTAGCTCGTCACTCAATATTAGCACTCAATTAAAAAACTTCTATGTTTTCACTACCCTTGCCGACAATTGGGGGGTAAACGTGGGGAGGAAGTCGAAGGACGTTCAACTGGTGATGCGCATTCTGCGCATGCATGAACTAGATTTTCTGTGTGCGGCTGACTGATGGAGGTTATACAGGAGGCGTTCAGTTTTAAGTTGTGAAAAAGTAAAACGAAACAATATGAAAAACTGATGTCATAAATGGCAATGTATTTACTTGTTGCATGAATATACAGGGTGTTTCAGATAAAATAATCGAACAATTAAATATAAGTTTTTACTAATATATTGACCATGCTCCATGCATAATACTCGTTATTATTTTTTAACGCGAACATGTCGCGTGTCAAATAGAAAAAACAACGAATTAAATTTGCCTTAAACCCTGTCGCAAACTATAGCTATATATTATTAAACATTCAGACCGCGACTACAATCAATAACGAAAACAGTTCTTGAAAAGCAAGAGAAGTAACGATTCATTTGTCCGCTAGATCCCGTCAGGATGAGCACGTTTTTTGAAAGGTCTAAAAATTAGAGATTTTCAATTTCGTATTATGAAGAAATTTAAGTTTTATTTGTACTCTTGAAAAGTTTTCATAGGTTTTTTTATGATGATATACTTGTTAAATTCAAAATATTTAAAAACAGACATGTGCATGTTCAGTGTTAATATGTTCCAAAAACGAACAGCTTTCCTAAACACTCTTTCCATATTTTTAGCAAAGGAAAATTAAATTGGAAATGCAGTGGACACTTCGAATGAGACGATTCTGCCCGTAAGTATATACATAATAGGAAATATACAACATATTTGTTTGTTTTCTTTTTACAGTACTGCATTGGTGCTTGCTTGCACAAATATTTGGGCAAATTTGTAAATTCTTGGAAAATTTCCAATGGAGATAACATTTCGAATGTACCTACCAATAGATGAATCCATCAGATAAATATGTTGATTCGCCGATGAAATTAAAAAATAACCCGTCCCGTTAATCATCGACACATTAATAAATAAATATGGAAGATACTTGAGATAGTCTATGTTTTACGATAAAATTTCGGTTTTATGGAAACTTCCAATTAATTATCATCGGAACCAAACATTTCTTCTGAATATAAATTTTCATAGATTAAAAAGACACCATCAATAAATAAAGAATTTAATTATTTACAAATAATTTACACTGACAAATTCATATATAAATTGGTCAATTCATTGAACTGGAACTCTACATAATCCAACTTTTAATTCCGACTAGTCGAAAATGTTGTTTTAGCTATTGATTGAAAATATTCGATTAAAATGTATTTTCATGAATTGCTAAAACATATTTTTCGAACATATTGTGACTGTCCTTACAATAAACATTTATGGAAAAGGTGGTGGATTATGTTGTACTGGCACATTCACTCGAAAGGTCAAAAATATATCTAATCACAGAAGTTTTGATGAAAAACTTATCAGACATATATAAGTGTTTTCAAAGATTGAAAAACGCATTACAGATGTCGGTACAATTTCTCCAATACTAATATCACTCCTACCATTTTTGTCAAATAATTTAAAAATTATAAAATATCACAACCATCTATCATATCTAAACATCATTTCTCCTAAATTTATTCAACAGAAATTTGGGAAGAATCTGGCAGATAGTTTTCAAATAATCTTTCACTCATTGTTAACAGTTTGATTTGAAAGCAAATTTTTGATGTTTTGTAGTGATGAATCTTAAGAGTCTACTTAAGTTACATAATATAAATAAAAAAATACCGCCAAATTCAATTAAAAGTCAGTAAACTTTTTTCGGATATTGCTGGGGAACTATCGGTGGTTGTTAAAAAACCATGTTATGTGAATCAAAATTATCCCACTAACTGTTCATGAATCCCTTGATCGCCGAGTGGGTTCCGGCCGCGGTTCCCAGCAAAGAAAATATGCACAACAGTAGGTCTTTTACCAGAATGTAATTGAACTTTCCCCAGTTTCCCCAGTTGATCACAATGTCAAGCACCGCCGGTATAAGGAAACCTAGAGTAGCAAGAAAAATGGCCCCCGCCATGTCAATAAGGGGACCCAGGTTTCTACCGGCTGCTGCAGCAATGGAAACGATAAAACACACCAGTAAAGTCCTCGTAATTATTTCGGCGATGTTGTGGTGCTTTTCCGGGATTTTCGGACGGATTTTTCTCCAAGTTATTTCTGTAGGAACATAATACTGCAGCATGAAAGTAAAAAATACTGATATTGAAATTGCAGCCTGGACAACTTGTGCCATTCTGTAAGAAAATTAAACACATTATAAATATTGTAATTAAATATCGAGGAAGCTAAATATACGGTAATAGCAAAACGCGTCTAGAAATAAAAATGAAATAATCTGGTTTAATTTCATTCAGTTGAAGTGTTAATTTGTCAAATGCAAATTTTTCTATACACTTAACAAAATTTTCGATATGACTTTCTTCTATCTGATCCCCATTGAAATTTTATCTACATTAATTCCTCCAATGAAATTTGTTGTATAATTCAGGAACATATCCCTAATTGATCATATATTCATGTTATTTAAAACATGTATCAGAAGTGTAGTATCTGTATACTTTCGAGTAAGATTTATTTGAATTGATTTTGTGATTATAGTTTTGTGAAGATGGAAATTATTTTCGTAGACAACATGCAGATTCCTTATAGAATAATTTGTATGAAATGTAATGGAACTGTTTATTCATGCATTTTCATACATTTTGTTTGAAAACGATGTATTCGCGGAACGTTATCGAACACGTAGCTGATAACTGGAGTCGATAATTCGAACGGAGACACGTACCGGAATGAAGTTGATTTGTTGCCGAAATGTTACGGTCTATTTTGGGACCCTTGAAGAGAAACGGCAAATCATCCGTGGGATGATGGGGTGTTCTAATCATATCACTGGGTAACGAATATGTTACCATTTTTTGACTTCCTATAACTTCTCCAATATGTCCTTCAAATGTCACTAGACCAAACGGGGAATATAACAAAACTGTATTATATCGACATTCATTTCAAAGAAGGATTTCGATTCAATTTGATTTGACTGTCAATAAGAGAATATTCGTCAAATCACACTGGAACAGAATGGATTCGAGACAAACATCCAGGCTGTTTGTGATATCCTGCGGACATTTTTGGGTTTTTTTACGAGAATTCCTGAAGAACAAATGGATGATGAAATTAAGATATCCGGGAAACTGTGTGCTGTGTGGGTGTTTGCTTAGAGACATGAGTATGCAGTTATCGCCGTGTGATTTCTCATACTCATATTCTCATACTATATATTTGTAATTTTTTGTGTCTTCAGGAATGAGTTATTTTTCTGAATTCCTTTGACTCAAATCTCATTCTTTCAATTATCGGAAATATAATAGATGATCACTTCGAGAACGGTAAAAATTGACAACAAAGTATCTACTTAAAATTAATACTCACATTTCTTCCGAGGGAAGGTTCTGCGTGATGGTATCTTTAGTTTCAGCTCCATAGGCGTAATACCCAAAAAATCCCATGGCAGAAAAGAGGGTGACTATGACAGTCATACCCATATTAAGGACACCAGAACAGCCGATAAAATTAGGTGTTACCATAGAATTTTCCACCGGCATGATTGTTCCGATACCTATTGTAATAAAATACTGTGTTTAGAAACATAATCGACATATTTCGATTATTTTCAATCGAACGCTCAAATTGCTCACCTTCCATGGAGAATATCACAGTACTGAAGAACACTGGAAGTCCGTTGAAGCCGGTCACCAATTCTCTGTCTTCCACCTTCACGTCTTTGATCTGCACGCACATGTAATACAGCGTGATGCCGAAGGCAACAACCATGGTGATATTTGCGATGAAGGAAAACGGTACCAGATGCTTCAGCTCACGCACCTGACAAAGTAGGATCAACGGAAGCAGCATCATCAGTTTGAAGTATTGACTCCAGGCCGGATCTGCGGCCGGTTCGTAGTAAAAAGATACCAACTGAAATGTTGAAAAAAAAGTTATTCGTTGCTTACTTCGACTTTCAAGAGAAAGATTAATCTTGGTGATCGAAACATGTGTCGAGGTGTCAAAAAAAATAACGGTTTGGTGTTGGGATGAAACTCCAGTAATATTTATTACTACACCAAAAGTTCCAAACAGTGCATCACAAGTATATTAGATGAAGATGATGTTCTTAGCTTATTACGTATTGTAATCCCCACTGAACGTGTATGCAAAATTTTAGCCCAATCGATTGAGGATAACTCTTTCAAAATTAACCGAATTGAAGATTTGACCCGACCTAATAAACATCGCAAGAGTAAAAGTTCATAATTGTACAAATTGAATGGAACTGGCCGATACCTAGTTGATGAAAATCCATACAAAACTATTCAATATTTACTGCATTCACTTTCATCTTGAATACGTTTCAAAGGATTTTCATCAAATATCGGTCAGTTCCATCATAAATATTCACTGTGATTTCAACCATATAAGCTCTATAAAATTTTACAAAACTGCGATACGTGTTCAATAGCTCCCTCAATCTAATCAGTTTGTTATTCTATACTACCTAATGTCTTTTTTTTCACCATTATCGTTATACTTTCAAGCTCAACAGAAATCATAGGCAAACTATGAAACTACAATTCTAAAAAAAAAGGAATCTACTTTCTGAACTTGAACAATGTACTCTTTTCATTTTGAAAATACTCACTTTTACCACAGATTCAGATATGAAGACTATGTAGACTGAACAACCTACGTTGTAAGTTAAAGCTAGAGCTATATCGGCAAAATTTCTGAAAAAAAAATATCATGTCAATACGATGAATACAAACTATCAACAAATTGAATTGCTGAAAACGATTTGATATGGTTCTTAGGATATATTTACACGAATTATAGGTATGCATCCCATTTTTTCAATTCTGACACTTTACTATGAATTTGTTTAGTCGTCTGGGAGAGTCGCAGAATGAATTAATTCAATTCCCAAAACGACATAGCGATTTTACTTTACAGATGTATTACAAACCATTAAGAAACGAGTTTTAGTGTTATAAACACGTTCTGGTTCTGATATTTTGATCTTGACATCATTTATAGAACAACTTAATTTGTTATTCGGAATATTTACTTCTTGAATAATATAGCATATATGCATAATTCATCCCTATCGTATAAAATGCTGTTGATATGAGAACACAGGAAAGTATTTATGTTATAGGAAACATTTTTTGAAGGTGTATCGTGAAATTTTAATTCTGTATAAAATTGAAGGTTACGTCATAAACTTGTTTATTGATATTTTCACAACTGTTGTTTCGGTTAAGTGAAAATTGCATAATCCAATAATTGACTGAAAAACTTTCTCTAACCAAATTAAGAATGTGAAGAATTGATTACTGCATTAATGATGCTTGAGAAGATAATACAAATTCATTTTCAAATCGAAACAACGTATATATTCAATGTTTGAAAGTGGTTGACAATTTTTTTATGAATGTTACAATTTCTAACTTCCACTGTCCAGAATGATGTTAACAGGTTCGAAATATTCAATTTTTTATTTGCATCTTCATGGATATCGAACCTGTTAACACCATTTCAGAGAATCAAAATCCGAACTTATAATGTATTTTCCAACAATATAAATGTAAAAATCGAGTATTTAACACCCTGTATTTTGAAAAAAAAAATGATATCTTGCTATTTGCTAATTGCATTGTTAATATTTACTTTAAAGTACCTTCAATTTGATACAAGTATCGCTTTCTTGATATCTTTATCACCTTGAATTGTTTTTGTATTTATCTATGAATTTTTCTGATACGTATGCCATACATTTCAGTCGATGAATGCAAAAAAAAACGAAAGCACTTGTAACTTTTCTTCGAAAACACTACCTGGGAAAACATTGGTCTTCATTCCAATATTTGAACTCGGTTGAATTTCAACCTTGAACCTGAATTCGATGTACTTATATTATTGCCATTGGCACAATGATTTATTGATATAGGATCGTAGTTGGATGAATTAGTCGAAAATTATTTTGGAATTGGCCATATCAAGTGACATTGACATTAACATACTTTGCAAATGTTGACCACCGCTGGAATATTTTCGGTCCATTTTTGAAAACTGCTTCGGCGGTACCGGCATATCCTAGACTGGGGGTTTTCGTCAAGATGCACATTCGTTGAGAAGCGCTTACCTAAAAAGGAAATTCCCAACTTGATTTTTTCAAATATTGAATAAACGTCATTTTTGTGGAGGAAATCGGAATACGGTTGATCATGTTATCGTGAGAAAAAGAATTCAGTTTCACAGACGGAACAAGGTAACATTATAAATGAATATATATTCATTTCCAATCAAGTCGTTGATATTACAATAAAAAAAGAGTTGGAAACATTACGCTGAAACACCAGCGTTGATGGTGAAAGTATTCAAAGAGATATTCATTGACGACCACTTGCAGGGAACGTTTTTTCAGGAAACTGGAGAGCCATACACAAAAATGATAATTTCGAACTGAAATATTTACCTTTTCTACATATTTACCATTACAATTTTAATTTTTTTGGTAATGTGGATTGTCAATTCTTTTATAGAATTACCTTGACCAGATTGAACCATGGAAAGTAAAGAATTTTTCTCCATATATATTTTTATATTTACCAATAAATTAACGGTGTGGGTGCAGAGAAGTCCAACTAAAATCGTCCCAAATAATCCTACAAGGAGTCCGGCACTGTGAAAAGCCCTTGGCATTGACAAAATTCCAGAACCCAGCGAACTTTTTACTAAATGCACAAACGCACCAACATATCTGTAACGGATCCAATTCAAGTTATATTTCTATAAAATGTGTTCTTCAAAAACTATAAAAACTCATTTCACTCGGTATATTTATTTTTTAAGAAGAACGTAAGTAAGTAATCTTTTTCATCGATCGATAATAAAATAATGAATTAGATAACCAAGTTCAAGTGTATTCATTGGCCATTATTGTTTTTAATGTTTATGACTTTATTACAATAATCATTGTCGTAATTAGAAATGTTCAGGTAGGAATATGAGATACACTTATTATATGTATATAGTAGGTATATGGATCAAAGTTGATGCAACACATTGATATTCATAATGATTTTTGTTAATCTACTCACGTATTCGGGTGCTCCAATTTTCTATTATCATATGGACTGTATATTTTTTCTATGCTGGACCCAATCGGAATTTTGATTTGGTCATTTGTGGCTAATGTTGTCCTGAAAAAAATGAATCTTTATTCTATCTCACCAGTCATTAGGAATTAAAAACTTACGTTACATTCAAAAATAAAACATTTCACACCAAAATCTACCAAACAAAAAATTCAAAGAGGTTAACATTGATTATTTTTCAATAGCACACCTTGCATTTGCATAATTTCCGAAGAGTTTTATCGAATATTATGACCGATAATAATATGAATTATCCTTCAATGTGACCTCTCGGCGATTCGCCGTACCAACAGGGAAAAGTCTCATAATTGCACACATCAGAAAAGCAGAAAAAACTTGTTACCGCAGGTATAAGAAATTGCTTGTAAATTCATCAACAAGACGAGAATAACGGTATAGAGTTCTGACAGACTTTCAAGATTTTGTTAATCTTTAATCTTTCGAAGTACTGCGATTCTTAATATATTCTTCGATTGACGTCATACGATAATATCTCGATCAATTCTTCATTCCTCTGACTCACCTGCGTATAGTTTGTTCTAAGGTAGTTCTTTATCGCGGAAAAGATTAATCTCTGAAGTTAGCTATTAGTCATGTATTCCTGGAAGAGATGATGACTACCGAATCAATTCACTTTTAATGTCATTTTCAAGCAACATTTGCATAAGTTGGTACTGCATAAATTAGACAAAGAATGTACCTAATTTTTCAAGTCCTCAAGAAAAATTTCATACAGTCTTCAATACTGTTTCAATTGAAATAGATAATAAGATGAAACTTGTAACATTAATTTCAATACATTAATTACTAAACTCTATATATTTCAAGGAGATATTGAATTCACTTTTTCTTTTGCCTTTTCATGACTTTTTCATTATCATATCTATTCATTTTGAATTGAATTACTAGGTATCTTTCTTATTTTTTTTGTTTTCGACATTAAAACAATTTAATATCTACCCTTTTTTCTAAAATCAGGTAACTTGGAATTTATAAGTTAATGAACTTCCCAAGTAATTAGGAAATACTACGGTGAAAATTTGCTTCATTTGTTGCAACATTTCTAAAGTTGAAGCATGACTTATACCTACCTACTTTCGAACGATTGCAAATTTAAAATGATTCCATTAAGACGCTCCTGTTTTCTAGAAGTAATTATTAGAGTGCGCATAGTTTATTCATTTTCTCATTAATTTACCAATTAATTCATCCTCAATTATGATGATTATTCAGAAACAAGTTATTCTTTATTGGCAACATTTGTAATTTCCCCAGTAGGTTAGACATTTGTCTAACCTACTGTATGAATAATTAAAAGAAAGTTGACAAAAAACGTTAAAATTTTTTCATTTGAATTTAATTCTGAATATATAGTCGTATTTATAATTATATTAATTTATCACATTAATTTTACTTTCAAACTCTTCTTAACTGGTAGGGTAGGGATGTTAACTTGACCAGTTAGGTACATTTCAAGAATGTCATGCATTTCGTTGCATTGCTCGTGCATCATTTATCGCGTTTTCCATCGACAAAACTAGTGCATATTTCTATCCTTGATTCATGTATAGTTTATGTATAGTTTCAAAATAACGCATATTACATTGTGTCGCCCGTCAATGCTCTATTAAGGCCTTAAATAAAGCGATGAACAAAGTGAACAAAATTCGACAATTCTATTCACTGAATATAATCAATCAATTAATTAAAAAAAAAAAAGAATATATGGTGTGTCTTAGTCTTAAAACTCCATAGTTGAATGTGCCATTTTGCCAGAGAAGTAACTAATCCAATGTTCATCACTTATCCTGGGTAAGTAGTTTTCGAATTTTTCCTAAGCTTACTTCTCCCTTACTCTTTTTATAAACAGACTGTGATTCCGAATGGGAAATAATCGTTCATATTTTTTGCTGCTTTAAATCACTGTTTTATGTTGTTGAGATAAAATGAGAACGTCCAATTGTTATCTGATTGATATATTATTGTTATTTAAGTGATTATAGTTTACTGAAGATACTTACGTAGAAGTATAACTGTCCAATGTGAAGACAGATTCATGTTTCTTTTTCGTCATTTTCGTCACCTGTAATAAAACAAATATTTCGTCAAGATTTACAAAAATACAATTTTAAATCGAAACCAAAGTCTTTGACTTCGTTAGAATAATAAATTTCTACTCGGATCCATTTATTTTTGTCTCGTTTTTTTATAAAAATCGTGAAAGTGAAAGATCATGGGCGCGCCTTAAACACGCTTGGAAAGAGCTCGAGGATGAACCCCAAAACTTGGGTTCTTCTTTATACAATATTCTTTCGTTAAATATAAACATCATCAGAAAATTCCATTATTTATATTGGCTTTCATCAAGTTTCAACATCTTCAATGAAATGATAGATGTTTTTTAAAGAAGTTTGAGTAATACACTTGTCATATCAACATTTTGAAAAATCTATAAATATAAATATGTCATGCTCATTAGCGACTACTACTTCAAATATTTCATTCATATTGGAGAGGACTTATTTCTTCTACTGAAGATATTCCAATTCAATTTTTAAAATATTGATGAAGCTTTGTCATCAATTATAGCTCTATATGTATTAGAATTATATAAGTACGAGATATTGCAAAGAGAAATATAAAACTGAATCAATTCGGAGTTATTGTTTGTTCTCTCTGATAAACCGGTTTGACGATGATCATTTGGCAAACAATTTCAGTCGAAATGACGAATAAATTAATAACTTTGGTAGTGACCTTGACGGACTTGATCGATGGCAGGGCTGTGGATTTTTCGGCCGTTCCTGGCAAGCCAAGTATGTTTTATATGAATACAAAGTTTTTGATTGATTCGGCTGTTACTTGATGAAGATCCATAGTAATTACATAAACTACACCTAACACGATATGATCATAAACTTTATTTTCAAAAAATATATCACATGTATGTTTCGCTATCACAATATTACATACTTATTGTGTTCGAATGCAACGCAATATCAAGTTCTCAACAATTTTAATATTCTATAATTTCGGTGCCTATTTACGTTGTACGTTGACTTTTGTTGGAGACCATAAAGAAAAACAATATGGTTATTCAAATATTGATGAATGGTTGTTGTAGAAATGCTATATTATTTTCCATCACCGACAAACTTTGAATCGCTCATTTGAATTTTTCATTAACAGAAAAAGAAAATTCTGCCTCACTCAACACATACCGATGAAGTTTCAAAGTATCGGTTCAATCGTTGGATTGATGAATCAAATAAAAACATGCAACATAAATGGTTCATCACAAGTTAACAATTTCAAAATGAATTGTTAACTTGACCGATAAACCTTCTACAATGAATAACCTTCGTAATATTCAAATCCGTTTGCAGAATGCGAAGTGATGGTCAAGTTGAGAGTGATAACTTTTATGTTTTATCCCTGTATAGATACTAATATTCAAGAAATGATTGAGCCTTATATGTAAGAAAATCTTGAAATATTATCAGCTCAAAGATAATATTGGTTAACAGGTTAATACTGCCAGTCGTTGGTATAAGCATTCAAATACGGGCGAACTGAGAAATTATTATATTTTCATGATTAGAAACTGTTCCATTTTTCACGGGAATATATTTCCGAGTTTTTCCCATTCTTATAATTTTGTTATTTTTCTCTTCTAGACCTGACTCGGTAAAGAGAATGTAGTAGCAAGCAGTAAACACAAGGTGTAGCCAAACTTTCCTGTCTTTAGGGAAAACCCAAGTGAACATAGTTGTTGCATTCTCCTCTTTTATAATTTTGTAGGTTTTGAATTTATTGTTGGTGATTTTTTGAATAATTATGAACAAAAAGATTTTAGTATGATCAACAATTTTTGTGAAAACGAACATTGTTTTCTTGTTGATATCGAAATCATTTAATTTCAAATGTGTAAATCACCCCATTTGTATGATTCTCAATAGTAAAATAGTTTATTTTTGATCCAAAGTCGGGTTTTTTAAATGGTGATATACGGGAAAGGAATCTTAATGAGTCAATCATTATCGAACATAAATGGGAATTTTAGTTGGGAACGCTGAAATATTATTTTTCTTGGAATTTGAGAGAGTTATACCTACGTAATCGTTGTAGTACGTTTTTTGTTGATAATTATTTTAAAGTACAAGACGTTTGTCTATATCTCGTCAATGATTCTCAAGTACTATATGATGGTACTAACTTGTTGAAACACTCTTTTATATCCAATTGACCTTGTCGAACAAAAGTAAAAACATTTTTAAGTTTCTAGAAGATCTATCGTGAAGTGAAATTTTTCTTTGATTATATTTACATTATGAGTACGTATCAAGAAATACTACAGATATTGTGATCAGAAATGAAAAACTGAATTTCACAATAAATTGAATCTTAGATATTTGTTTGCAAAAACAATTGAAATTGTTTCAAAATGATAAATTTCAATTATGGTATCATTTTATGGATACTATTTCACATAGACAAAAGTAAAATTGATACTAGAAAATAAGGAGAAGAGAATTCCTTTTTGATAAATGTATTTTTTAGATACCTAATGCCATCCTTGAACCTTTGCCATAATATATAGTGAAATATGGACGGGAAAATGTTCATTTGTTAAAATTTCAAGTTTTCAGAAAAAACATTGATCTTATTCAGTAACTACGTGAATAATTTTCACAGTTTGTGTCAAAAACTATCCAGTACTATCGAGTCGATGCGAACATTTTTGAAAAATCTTTTTCTACGAGTATTGGACACGTCTCAGTAGGTGAAAAACTCAATCCGTCATCTTTTACCTTTCGATAAAACTTTCTTGGACAAGTAGATACGACGGTTTACCCACTAACACACTATACATCCACATCCACACTACACACACTCGAAAAATCGACCGGCGGAAAACGAGGTACCCGCGAGTAACGATTCGACTGCAATAAACTTGTCTCGACCACCTGTAAGCTATTTATTTATTCCTTTCGTTTGTTGCTCGCCGAGATCATTTTATTAGGCTTTCCTATTGATAACGGCGATTGACGTTTGATTTGCTCACTTACTTCTCATGCGGTCGCGGGTTTGTTTGTTGGTAAACAAATCGACTGAAGACGATCCGGTTACGGTTTTGTTGGGCTCAGAAATTTTTCCTTTGTACCTAATCACGATTGATAACTAAACAGTGTTTGAATTTTGAAAAAAATTGAGTTGTAAAACTAGGAAACATTTTGTAAACTTCGTGTCGCGGGCGACTGTTTTTGTAAACGAATTCATTGTACACGACGCCGCGGCGCGTCGTTCCGTTGTTGGTTGTGATATAATTTTAAAATAAGGAACTTAGGTATTACATTGGAATAAATATTACTGCCTATAAAATAACTGTAATATGAACCCAAGCCAAATTTTTCAAATAGAACCCTGGTATTTCATAAAATGAATAGCAGTAATCAAAATAGTCTATAAAGTGCACTTGTTTACTTGAACATTTTTTCAGCTTCACAATGTAAATTGTGTGCATGACATGAAATGATTTAATTTGATTATTTGAACGTATGTTATACTTTTATATAATCTGATAAATAAAAATGGATGTTTGTTGGTTGGTTGGTAAGTGATAAACTTCTACATCGCTCAACCGATCGTGATGAAACTTGACATGTATAAGTAATTTTTCATAGAGAAGGTTTTTAGGCTATCAATTTTTCTGTAACTCGCCACTAGATGGCACTGTAGAACAATTTTTTGAAAGCACTGTTCTATAACGCTGCGCACGCCTAAGTTCGTTGATTCTGATTCTGTCAAAACATTGGAACAGCAGCGATACAGCAACGTTATGTATAACGTTGGAAACACTGGTATACTTGTAAAAAAATTCATTGAATAATAAGAAAATACATTTCAAAATTCCGAATTTATGAGTATTCGCCGATTGAAACAAGAACTTTTTCTTTTTTAATTTAAAAATTGTTTTTTATTGGACCGATATTTACAATACCCAACTAATTATTGAATTGAAGATATTTTTGAGTATTTATACAAGTATTGCAGTTATGTTGTTGGTTTTTCCCGTGCGTATTCTCTAGATAATGTAATAATTGATACTCCTTACGAATAAATAATAGTGATAATAATTTTTGAAAAATTTCCCCAAAAATTATTTTTATCATTGATAATTACAGTTTGCTCGCGTAATTTGACTGTTAATGATCGTTTATTCTTCATGTCAATGTCAACGTCAAGAATAACTTTTTACGAAAATGCTAATTTTGACTGCTTCTTTGGTAGGAAAATACGTAGTACTTATTTCAAAATAGATTTCATCCTTTTGGCTGCCTTTTTTTGGCGACACACTATCAAATTTTGATATTCCAGGAAGTTCTGATCGGAAATTTTATTGTTCAAAACGAATTCAGTTTTTCCTCGAAACGTAAAACATCACCGGCTTGTTTACATCTTTGAAATCATAATATCGCACCCTTAGAATGAAAGTGACTTAACTCAAAATTCCTGTAATACTCGATTTTACCATAAACTGACCTTATAAAGCAAACTCTATAACCCTGTAAAGAAAAAGTCACCTATCTCTAAGTATAACAGGGACAGCGCATATTTCGGTCTCTTTTACTGTTCCCGCTATTCATTTATGCATGTTGTGTGAAAGAGGCAGAACTAGTATTAAGTCAGAAGTGTTTTCTAGTGGACGTGTAAAACATCGGCGGATCTCAAATTGTGTCTGTTTATTGCAAATACTGTGAAGGTAGGTAACAACAATTTTTTTGTAATAAAGTGACCATTTATAAAATAGGTCTGTATAGAACAAAATATGTTATAGTGTTCAGTGACCATTAACAGATTAGGTCAATCGATCCTGAAATAAATAACATGTCATCATCATCATCGAAGATTTCATCTGGATCTCGCCTCAGAAGAAAATCGACTCCAATTGATACATACAAGATGTCACCATTACACTCCGGCAAAAGCGATGTGGACCTAAGCGATAGCGATCCGACATTAATTGTGCCAGAGAAGAAGGGTTCCAAAAGTCGTGAGAGTTTAACTAATTTTGACTCCCGCTCATCTCACAGTGTAGTTTGTTGTCAAAGAAAAAATCCTCCCGTCTTAGTTCATCTTCTATAAGTTCATCCAGTAGTATTTCTTCATCTAGCAGCAGTTCTTCATCTAGCAGCAGTTCGTCATCAAGTAGCAGTAGTGCACAATGCGACAAAAACACCAATCAAGATAACAATTATTTTTCCAACAGCAGAAAAAGGAGACGGGATACCACGAAATGGAAACAGACGTCCGCTAAAATTGCAAGAAATAGTGGGCAAGCATACACTTCTATCTCTAAATCAAAACGTCAAATCAAAGCACGCTCCGTAAAACCACTGTGTTCTCAAAGGTGTAGGTTGAAATGTCGAGACAGTATCAGCGAAGAGCAGAGAACAAGTCTTTTCAAAAAATTCTGGGATTTGAATGAAATTGATCTACAGCGCTCCTTCATCAATTCAAGTATGGCTGAAATATCTCCAAAATATCGTTACTCTAATGCTGAAAATCCAAGAAAATTTAACCACGCATTCTATTTCACTCTAAATAATGAGAAACGGCGAGTGTGCAAAACATTTTTTTTGAAAACTTTAGACATTTCTGATCGCATGATTCGCACCGTTAAAAGCAAGAGAGACACTGAAGGTTTCGTGCAGAAAGACTTGAGAGGTAAGCATTACAGACATATTAAAGTTGACGCAAATATTATTCAAGATATAAGAGACCACATTAATTCTATTCCCCGAATAGAGTCTCATTATTCAAGAGCACAGACAACACGAAAGTACATCGATGGTTTAAGAACGATCACAGAAATATACAGAGATTATGTTGATAATCAAAAGCAAAATGATAAGACCTACGGAAAGTTCAACAAGTTCTACGAGATATTTACTACTGAGTTCAATATTGGCTTTTTCAAGCCAAAAAAAGATCAATGCGACTTATGTAATCAATACTTACTATGTCCAGAAGCTAACAGACTAAATATTCAAGGAAAATATGACACCCATTTGAAAGAGAAAATTTTATCCCGAGAGGAAAAGCGAACAGATCGCGAAAACGTCAGTGATACGACTGTTTGCGCAATTTTTGATCTTCAGGCTGTGATGCAATGTCCAACGGGCGATATTTCTGCCTTTTACTATAAATCGAGGCTCAACAGTTTCAATTTTACCATAGTAGAGTTGGATAAACCGAAGGAAGTAAAATCTGATTCTAAGTATTGCTGTTATAAAAGCGTAAATTGCTATTTTTGGGACGAAACTCAAGGTAAGAGAGGCTCAAACGAATTAGGATCTTGCTTATTCAACTACCTTCAATCTATTGATGCACGATCCGGAGGAAAAAAAATAGATGTCATTTTATATTCTGACAACTGTGGTGGCCAGAATAAAAATAAATTTATAGCGAGTTTCTTTTCATTTGCGGTTGTGTATTTTGAAAACATTCATTCCATAATTCATAAATTTTTGATACAAGGCCATGCAGAAAATGAAGGGGACAGCGTGCATATCTTAATAGAGAAAGAAGTGAAAAAGAGCCTTAAGTCTGGTCCCATATACATTCCTCAACAATACGTCACCTTGATGAGAAGTGCTAAGAAGAATGGATCCCCAATTCTTGTTCACGAACTTGATTTTCATTATTTTTTTGATTTAAAAGATCTATAAGTTCAATGGGGCTACAACTTCTCAGAAAATGAAGAAAGAGAAACGTGTAACTGGAATAATATTAAATTGCTGAAGTTTACGAAAGAAGAACCATTTCTGATCTATCACAAAACTTCTTACAAAGATGATTTTAAAAAACTTAACGTCAGAAACAAAAGGATGAAAATGCCGACACTAGAATAATTGGAACTCAAAAAACTGTATTCGGAAAGGATTGAGCTAAGTACTAACAAAAAAAGGATCTCCGTGAGATACTTAATGAAAACTTGATACCAAATGTTTACGCTGCTTTTTATCAATCTTCATTCAACAATGAGTAAAAAAACCCTATCAAAACAAAGTTTACACTACAAATCTTACTCGTCGTTATTAATGACTAATTGAAAAGATATTTTTTATTCTGCTATATAAGGATGTGATTTTTATTTTCTATTTAAAATAGTAACTCTCTCATGTGATTCTCAGTTATTAAGAGTTTTGACTTTGAATGTTATTCTTCATTAATAAGTTTAAAGATATATTTTGTTTTGTTATCAAAGTATGTGAATTTTAATTTATAATTTGCAAAAGTAACTCTTTCATGCGATTTTCAGTTACACTGTTTGCTAAATTAATTAAACATCATACTTTTCAGTTTACAAGCGTAATGTAAATTACGGGTACCTAATCTAAGACTACGTTTCTAAAATAATTTGTTATTTGCTAGTCAAAAGTGGCAATCAGTTACTACAACCTCACTAATGATAAGACTAAAATAAAAACTTATTGAGACTGTTGTTGAGATTTATAAACTAAAAATAAATAGATACATTTGATTTTTCAAACTTTGCATTTCAATGTACTACCTTGTATTCACAGAACTTTCAGTACAACAATGACTTATTATTTATTATGTCAACAGAACGCTCTCCAATATGCGTCATAAACAGACCTAACTCATAAAAAATCTCAAAAAGTTCAAAAATAATTTTGCAATAGTGACTCAATTTGATTATTATCAACCATGTGTTTTGAAAAAGAATTTATGTAAACCAAAAATTCAGTTTGTCTCAAAATGGAGCCCTGGGTAGACTCCAAAATAATGTTTCCATTGTACCAGATGAAATTCAACTTAAAACCTTTATCCAGTGAAGTACTCACCTGTTGACATAACCATGATATTTCTCTTTTGATATTACATACCTATTCCACAAAGAATGTATGTCTATTGAATAAACCCAATAGTGAAAGTGAATTTTAGCTGAATTTTATAATGAAGAAAACATTAACAAATACAAACAATACACATATCCCAATCAAATTATTTAATACGAAAGGTAAGACAACAATATTTTCTAACACTGAAAAAAAAAGGACAAATCAAATCAAAATATGCTTTATTTTCCAAGATTTGAACACTGATAGCCATTTCGTGTTGATTTCAATAACTTGTTTACACAAAGCTACATGCCAATCACTCGATATAGTCTTGGTAGAATTCGTCCACACTAATTCAGAAATATAGAAAGTTGGTATGTATGCAATCTACCCTAAATTTATCTTTTTATTCCAAATATTTTCATTTTCACATGTAACATATTTTTCTAGAATCCACATAATGTCTGGAGTAGTAGAAGGACCGGTCACAAGTTCTCACGATACAACTTATGTTAATAATTTGAGGTATGCTGTACAACTTCTTCAGAAGGAAAATATATTAGGGATCATCGAGCCAATCAATAGCTACTCAGTACCTAACTACTATATGAATTGTTATAAAAAAGGTGAGTTTTCATGAGTTGGACACACAACCGTAATGGTACCTAAAATGAAATACTTTTCTGAAGATGATGTTTCCTTGGTGTTTCTTCATTTTGAAACAAAATTACTAAACTGCTACAGAAAATGAACCAAAATGGTTTCAGCTAAAGAAACTTATTTTTGTTATTCAATCACATTATATACTTCCACACAAAATTAATAAAAAACAGTAATTTTATGAAAATAAAAGGCGAAGTTGATACAAGTTTTACTAAGTTGAGAACATTTTTCTACTAAATTGGCTCTTTTACTGAACAGAAAATATTCAGAGAGATTTATGAAAACTAGGATCTTATTTTATGTTTAGGTACCTTTGTGTTGGTCACTAGCTTCTAAGCTTAGCACTAGCCAAGATCATTTAGTCAGGCTTAACAATCTGCTTTGTAACATATTTCCAATTTCTTGATTATTCTTTAGTAGAGATTAACCAAATTGGTATGTTATCTTCATTGGTTTCTCTATTTAGACACTGGAATAGCAGACTGGTATTTTCAAATAAACTGGTTGACTGAAACAGGTTGAACTAGTTGGAAGTTTATAAAAGTTTATTTTAATTTTTCATTAAAATATTTTGAAATGAATATCAGTACTTTGTGAAAGGCCACTGCGTTTGGTCTTTGTTAATAGGAGGGAAAGGTAATTCTAAATAACAGTTTGAGTCACTTATTTATTAATTGGTATAAAGAAATGACCTTATAGTAATTATATAAATTTACTGAGGGAATTTTTAAGAAAAGTTACACTTTTACTCCACATTAATTTTTTTCCTTCATTTCCTATATCAAGTAAATTTATTATTTCATTTCAGTTGGAATAGGATTTTGATAACTTGAGTTGTCATTTTCTTCTACTTATATTTCAAGTTTGAACTCAACTCACATTTTCTTTTATTTTCAGCATTATCGACTGTCAAGGAAATCAACAGCTCCCATTTGAAAATAATGCTGGATATTTTTCATCTGCAGTTGATAAAAGGCAATATTGGGAATACAATAAAGGAACTAAAAGAATATATTGGTCACATTCAAATCGCCCAAGTGCCTAATCGTAATGAACCTGATACTGAAGGAGAGATAAATTACAAATATGTACTAGAAACAATTAAAAAAGAAGGCTATGATGACTGGATAGGATTAGAATATAAACCATTGGTAAACACCACAGAGGGACTCAACTGGATCAGGAAATTTGGATACAATTTGTGATCGTGAAATTATAACTCAATGATTGTAAAATTAAATATTTATGAAGTTTGTTGTTTTGTTGTGGTGGTCATGTGCATTTGATAATGCACTACCTAAATCTACTGAATCTGCTTTGGCTGAAAAAGGCTCGACCATAACAACCTAGATATATGCCAAGCTCATAAATAGAACTGTTACTGTGACTCTTCAAAATGAGGCAATTCGGTTCAAGGTCAGCCAGGAGTTGCACTTGCGGTAGGGTACTATACCCCTTCTCCGGTCATTCCTGATGAACAGTTTGCTTCATCTCCTTGATAAGAAGTATATATTTGCAAGCTTATGCAAATGATCTTGTCATTTTGGTAAGGACCATGTCGGGAATAGTAGTCTAGCATTCTGTAAAGAATTTTGAACGATGTTCACTATTTGTGCCGGAGAGAGCAGATACCTGTTCATCCCACCACAACTGTGATAATATCTTCCGTAGAAGAGGAATGAAAGTGAATCAACTATAATTTCCCTCAATAGTGAGGTAATTCGATTTGCAGCAGAAGTGTAATAAAAACTTGCCTATAACGCTCACTTGAACAATTGAAAATCTTGGAGCTTAATACTATTGGACATATGTGATGATAGACTAATGATCACCTATGACACAATCGGTTGAGAGGCCGAAAGCTTCAGGGCAAACGGTTCACACCTAGCTCTGTATTGTAAAGAGACAGGTTTGCCTAGCTATCTCCTCTGATGCCATCGGTACCAAACTGTCGGCCACTTTGGAAATCCTTCTTGACTTGAAATGTGCATATTGCCAATTGCACACTGGTCACATCATTATAGGAATGACCTTCGATTTGATACATCCAAAAGTCCATTACGACCTGCCTTATATATTTCCAATCCCAAGTAGAGAAGACTGGATTCTCCAGGAGGAGAAAATAAGAGCAGATAACTGTTTACTGATGGAACCAAAACACCTTCAGATTCTAGTTTAGGTGTATACAGTCGCAGACCGAGAATAGATATGTCAGCATGCCTAGAGATCAATGTGACTGTCTTGGTTGAGCGGTAGAATAGCCAAGATTAAAATAAAAATCATTTATTTTCAATATTTCAGGCAGAAAGCTACACCATTAATTCATTTGTGGAGAGTTTGACGGAAATTCGTAAATCCATGCGGTTCTGAAAGTACTTTGCTCGCACCAGCAACATTTAACAAACTGCTTCTAGTCTGAATTCATTCCTGGCCATACTGACCTTGAAGGTGATCAAGCTGCTGACGTTCTTGCAAGAGAGGGCGCTGCAAACAGGTTCATACGATAGGGAACCTGTAATTAGCATCCTTTCAAGTTTTGCCAAACAAATACTGAATACCTGGACTGCAAGAAGAGTTTCAGATTTCTGGCAAAGACTGATCTGTTCTGAGGCTTGTTGAACCAACAAATTCCCTCTGACCAGGCAAGCAAACACAATAATTCAACCAAAACATAGTCGACAAAGCCTTATTTGGCCGAATCTAATGTATTGTCGGGTATAGCTGATTTACAGATGCCCTCATATGGTAAGGTTGCTACACTCATTGAGGTGGGAATCTTGCACCCTGAACATTCGACAACCTTTAAGGTCAACAATCAACTGGAATCTTTTCAGTATGTCATTATGACTGCCGTAAAGGCTGTTCTAGAAGATGGTCCACAAGTACGATTCCAGAGCTGCACATTCCAGCCTAGATGGCTGTGTGTTACCCGAGTAGATCAGAAAACCATCTCCTGGTTGGCTACTCTGCAGCAATGGGAGGGAGTCACCCTGAAGTGTGTCACAGTAAACCTATTTCCTAAGCCACACATTTGTTTTACCTACCTGACTACCCATCAGGTCCTCATTAAATTGAGAAAAATTTATAATGGTCTCATCAACCTTGGAGTGGACTATAATGAATTTCCAGACCCTGGTAGAAGACCACATACTCTGTGTGTTAGAATAGATGTGAGTTGCAATAAACCTTTGCGAGTTGGACCTACCTACCTATCTTAATTAATTTGTTTTTGTTGTGAATTTTCCTTCTGCAACTAACAACTCATTTTGAAGAAAGCACACAAAAGTATTAGTTGAAGGAGAATGGATTATGAGAAATTATATACAAATACAATAATATAAAACTGTATTTTGGCACAGACACTCATTGTATAAATAACTGTAAATATTTTAATCACAACATTAAATATTAAAATATTAAGAGGCACTAACTTTTAAGGTACACTATTCGGAATGAGTTATCCTTTTAAGGTATATCAAAAATTATACAAAAAAATCTCTCTTTAATTTTGGTATATTCATTGCACCTGGTTCATACTGAGTACTGCTTCTTACTAATTTCGTCTTACCAGACCGCTGAAAAAAAAAGTATATCAATAATCATAAAAGTGACACAAGTGGTAGATATGTATATTGAATGCTGGCGAAATCATCAGTCAGAAATACAATTTAAAAGTGAAAAGGAGTCAAAAGTGTTTTCATAAGAAATGATATACATTATACCCGATGATTCAAACCTATGGTAACTCTTCATAGTTCAATTACCAAAAGCATGTGTTTCAATTTGAAATGTCAATTTGTGACAAGATTGGTGGTTATAACAAAAAAAAATCAGATGAAATCTAGATATTTAGTTTCCATTGTAAGATTAAACAAAAAATATTTATAACATGCCTACTGATTGGTAACTGAATATCTATCAGAGAATACTCTAATAATTGGTTTAATTTTCTCATATTCAGTGTCACCATAAAAGTCGGCAACATATAAGATTTTTTTTAATAAAAGACATGAAATTGGTCTTGGCATTGGATTGTATTTCAAAATAGACTGAAAAATAACAAATACTTGCCACTAACTGTTAGGCAGTACCTGTCAAAATTGACTCTTTTTTCGAAACAGAAATTAAAAATATCATTTACCCTGAGAGATTTAAAAAAGTTTTTTGAAAGTCATTTGTTTTATAATTTTACGACCATATACCTATTTTCATCTATCTAGGACATATTTCTTGCTATTATTGGCAAATTTTCATGACTTTGCAACGCTCCTGTTCATATTTTATATCGTCATTCAAATTTTCTTCCACATTAGATTCTAAATAATGAAAATTTACACAAAAACTAGTCTGCATGACATGTTGCTCAAGATGAGACCTGAATATATAGATTTTATTTTTGAATTCATCAAATACGACAAAAATGTTTTCTATGTTGAATAAATTTGATATGGATGAAATCACATTTTTCATTTTTTTCAATGTTCATTTTGACAGGTACTGACCGACAGTGGCAAGTGTTATTTTTAGTCACATTCGAAGCGAAAACCAATGGCAAAGTTTATTATCATGTGAGTCTATCAATTTTTGTGTCCTGGTATAGTTTTGAGGATGCAAATGAACGTGAAATTTCCACAGATTAGGAAAACCGATATTATAGAAAATTCATTAAATTTATGAGCTAAAATAATTCGTCAGTTTTTCTTTATCCTTAATGTCACCAAAATTTGTGACTCAAAACATTCAATTGAAACTACCTATCTAAGGAAAAGGAAATACATAGCAGACATGAGAAAATTGTCATCCATATATTCTGAAATTCGCATGGTGAAAAACTGCATATAATGGGATAAAAGTGAAAAGACAAAACAAAGATGCTGTAAACATTGTAGACATTGCAGGAAAGAATGATAAACTCATAGTCAAACGATGCATCACAAGTTCATACAGTAAGCATAATATTCAGTGATCAAATTAAATAATTCATGTATGAGGAATGAACTTAATTCTCTTTATTCACAAAGGATAAGCACAGGAATAACTGGAACGATTAGACATTCCATTACAAAAATTGCATGAAATGTCTTCATATAATTTTTCTTCAGTGCCAGTAACGTAGACTAAGCTATTCACAAAATATTAGAGCGAGATTCAACTACGGAAAAATTATCGCAAATGATAGAGCATGCCTTATTGAACAATGAAAAATTTAGGAAAACTGAGTATTGTGAAAGTACAATTACAAAAGTATTCTAATAATTGGAATCAAACGGTTTTTCCTTTTGACGTCTTATTGAATGCGATTTAAATGAAATGAAATATATATGGAGACTATATTTTTCTTGAACACTCAACCATTTTTTATTTTCTCTTTGATATGAAGCCCAATTCAGTAAAGCCAATGCACATATAATATGATCCAACAATTACTCCATTTTTTAATGTTCCCGTACAATTTTTGGTTTTTAAACCTTTTTGACAAAAATTATTTGAAATGATAATGTTTTGATTTTAACGGCTCCTGGGAGCTGTCTGACTTGTCCATTTCTTTCAAGTCTCCGGAAAATATTGCAGCCTCAAGGCTTATTGTATTTTCCCCCAATGTTTTTCGTGACACCCATTCCAATAATCTTGTTCCCTGTACTGATATATTGCTGGACGTTTGTCAAAATTTGGGTTGTCCATATATTGTTTGCTTCTTGTGATCCAAAGCCTCAAATTCACATAAAATATGACGAACTGTCCCTGCTCCTTTGCTGCATTACCTGCAGCTAAGGTCTTCGTTATACAGACCTATTTTTTTCAGATGTCTTGTTAATGTACAGTGAGTGGCTCTGTATTCATTCTGAGCTGATCCTTATTGTCTCGAAGCATTTCCTTGGTTCTCTTCACGAATGGTCCTTAAAGGTTTTCCTGTGTGTTCCCGGGTGTGCTTTCCAGTACTTTCATGTTTCTTATAGATCCATTTCCAAACATTTCAATACCCCCACAGATGGTTCAGGGTCTATATATGAAATTGAGGATCCTTGTCTGGCACACTCGTCAGCTTTTTCATTGTCCACGATACCCGGTGTCCAGATACCCAGTATACAGTCGACCTATTTCTATTCGCCAATTTCCTCAGTTCTACACAACATCCCCACCATTTGGGTTCGTCAGTACCCCACGTGCAGCCTGGCTGCACCCAAATGCATCCCCACCCAAATGGTGGTGATGCTCATTTTGTTGAGGCTTCGAATTAACTTTCGATTGCAATATTGCACAGAAATCAACCTGGAAGACTGGTATGTTTTGACTGAGTGGATAACTGAAATGAAGGTCTCTTCCTGCACAGTCAATTCCATCTCATGTTCCACGTTCAGTTTTTAACCCGTTTGTGTTTCTGCCGAGCATGTTCTCAGGATGACTGTTCATTCTCCACTCTCTGCGTTCTAAGAATTTAACCATTTAGTTTGTGTCTAACATGTATCGCAGTATTATGTGGTCCAAGAGCATGTTGGATGTTCATTTTTCCACACATTTCGAAATCTCTGTTTTGCCCAATCCCATGTAGGCCGGTGAGTCTCCAGTCAGAATTGCTCCTCCTGCTTCTAACACCACCTCAACATACGGTGCATTTCTTTAATGTCCTCCCCCTTTTATTTTTTGAACGGGTCAACTCAAAAAATTGAAATTTGGGATAATGGAATTAATGCATGAATACTTTATTTTTAGTTAGGGAAGCCACAGATTATGCTGTAGACGACCCCTCCCGATATAGAAGGCCTCGACACTCTGTCGAATGAGGCCCTCATGTCCCCCGTTAAAGGATGAACAACTTTTTCATCCATCCCACCCCAGCCAGGTAGAGGTATCCCGTGAAGGGCGGCACTGATGTCTAAGGACTTCATGCCGTCATCTATCAGTTATGTACCCATTGGTCCCTCTCAAGGCCAATGATCGGCCAAAAGGGTAGGGGAGCTGGTCTCCAAACCTGGATGAAATCAGGATGACTCGTCATATTGATATAGTCAAGTTTAAGTGACAGTGCGTTTCAGAGCAATCTAATAAGGCGATATAGACATTTGAATAGTAGTTGAGGTTTTAGTTGAAGTGTTTTGTTGTATTGGAAAGTGAAATAAAATTGAGTTTCATTATTGTATAGTGTAGTCAATTATTGGAAAACCAACGGGTAAAAACGTAACAATACGTTCTCCTTATTTGCAATATTTGGAAATGGACATCCTTCAGAGAATGTGTTACGGACATACATTTTGCAAATAGTATGTATTTATATTCACTTTTACTTTAGTGTTTTACTGGTTCTGTTTTACCTATTTTCAGAATTTCCGTTACATTTTGGCATTGAAGAAAAATTATACAAAGATACAGACTTTTTTCATTTCTATTTCTTTTACCAACACCAAAATACGAGTAATTTCTTTCCTAGGAGGGTTTTACTGTCCATATTGTGATGGATCAATTATCCGCAGTAGAATTCTAGAGAGAACTAGGGGAGTGAAAATCCATAAATGTGAAGAATAATTATTATGATATATGAGTGATGGATATATTCTGACCAAAGTCACTTACCCCGTTATTGTGGAGTTTTTGTGGTGGTAACAGTAAACCTAACGCTGCGGGTAGGTAATCTCTAAAGCCTTAATCAAGACTTTAAGATTATTTACCTGAAGCTTTGTATTGTGCTCAGTTACTAATTGGCAATGCTTTGAATTACGAATGGACTGACCCGTTACTTGATAAAAATTAATAATTAACATAATTAGTTTAAAGTCGCTCGATTTATTTCTGTTACCAAAAAGTAAAATCGAAAAAAAAAAAGATTATCATTAACAGAGAAATATAAAATTAAATGGGAAACTTTGTGTGGGTACAACTATCTCAATAACATTCATCTCACCACTGGTTCTTAATTTATAGATTTCAATAGAGAAATAATTCATAGTTCCATTTCTTGCCAAGAAGCTTACAGGACAAAATTTCAAAAATAACAATATTTGGACAGTCCTTCCTATCTTCTTTTAGACTTGCTATCACAATTTCCCAGGTCACGTGTGAAGTTAACATTACAAGGAGACTGCAAATAATAAATCCATTTCATCTTCGAGAATGTAAGACATATATTTCCTGATTGGTGCAAGTTCAAACTCATACCGTTTCAAAAGATGAACATATCTGATATATACAGTGACACCATTAAAGTTCGTATTGTAGGGGAATATTCCTATTAATAGATGTAATTGAAAATTAATTTTGGAGCTAAGTTTTTCTTGAAAATTGATTGAATATAAACTCCACTTTAGATGTCAAATGCTATTCTGAATGTGCCAAATATGACATTTTTTTAAGGACTTTTTAAAAATTGGGATGACACTGGAAACGTTTTTCAATTTTCAATTTCACACCTCATCATCAAATTTCAGCTCTCAAATGACATTTCGAATTTTTTAATTTATTTCCTATTTTTGTAATTTTCCTTCTACCGATTTGAACTAAACACGATTCTAACTTTATATCTGGGATGAATACGAAATAGTCCAGAAAATACTTTTGTTGACTTATTTCCGAAAAAAAAATGAATGCAATTCTAAAAATTCGTTATTTTTGGTGCAATAATTCAACATTTATTGATTTATTCAACTAATGATTATAATGTAAAAGAAAAACAAACTCGTGTATTCAATAATTTATCCATTTACTCCTCGACAAGACAAATTCGAGCTAATTACTGCTCCCAAACACTGGAACCGCAGCAATCTTCTCGACGTGCCTTTTACCAGCTTGGTTAGTAAATCGCGTGTCAAGACTTTTGATGCATTTCTTTCTGGTGTTTGAGAACAGGGTTTGTTTTGCATTTATTCTACGCCACATGCTTTCAGCAAATAAGAAAGACTAGAAGAACTTTGCACCTATAATGACAAATTACTGGAAGGAATTTTTTTTTTCTGGTAATACGTCAATGAAAGTATTTTCTGGACAAGATATTCCTGTAAGAAATATTGAGTTTAAATCAAATTTCATTCAAATTGATTTAGAAAAAAATTACAAAAAATTGTGGAAAATTAGAGACCTTTTTTCTGTTCCTGAGACATTTTTTAAAATTTCTAATGGCAACCCTATTTTTGGAAAATCTCTTTGAGAATTATAACATTTGATAGTTTCAGCGTGGTATGTGATAACTAAAGTGGGGCTCATATGCAGGCATTTTTCATGTGAAAACCAACTGCAAAGTCAAAGTTCAATTACATCTATCAAAAAAAAATCCCATATGGTGGGACTTTGGTGGTGTCACCACAGTAGTAGAAAAAATGTAGGAGCTAAAGCTTCTTTTCAGTTGGTAAAATTCTGAAAGTAAAATGAAAGTGATTTGAGAAATAAAACAGCTAAAATTCATACAAGTTAAGTTACCAATTAAACTTGTTTATGAAGACTTGAATGAGCATAAGATATGAATTGAATATATTTATTTCTCTATGTTTCTATTGAATATACTTATCAACAAAGTCCAAACTCTAACATTCAACAGGAAATATTTTCATTCACATTCAAATAAACTCATCTTTTGATGAGTTTATTTGATTAATTTGATTTAAAATGAGGAGTTGGCAAGAAGAAATAAATAGCAAAAGCTGCACTCAAACAACACCAGTTTACCTAATGTTCTGTCACCTTTACTTCCCACACCACCAAACCCACATAAAATCGTCTCTATGATAAAACGTACAATTCGTCTGTCTTTATCTTTACTCAAATCTTTACGGACTTGAGCTTTCTTTTGGGCCTCCCGAGCTTGGTGAGCCAAATAAGATGGTACAGACCATAGTTTAACCCCAGCTTTCAACATAGTTTCCATGATACAGCAACAAACAGCCGCATCTTTGATTTGCTTGTTTAAATCTTCTTTTGTGAGATGTTTCAAAATCACCTTATCATTATCCCTGAAAAAAAGAAATCTCATTATTTATTGTTGAAAGTAATGTTAATAATAATAGGATTGCTCAAATTAATGGATGAGGTGAAGTATATAATAATCATTAACAGCATAAGGAGTCTGTTCTATGCAATAACATCAGTGTTTTGTTGAGTTTTTCATTATCATTCCTACAAGAAGGATCAGTTTGGAATTTCTGAAAGTACAATCTTCATCATGTTCCAGCAGTTACATTATAGGAAATGACAAGAGCGATGGAAAGATTGTGAATTTAGAGTATGGTCGTTACGCATTCCAAAACTAACGCCTGCTATCATATTCACCATTCGGAACATGGTTTCCTGAAAATCGGCAAACCAAACGTCTTTCAAGTCACTGGCAAATAGTGTATGGTTGCCAAATGTCAACATTGCCATATAAATTATTCAAATGTCGACCTACAGTTAATAACAGAGCGATTGTGTTATTAACTGTAGGTTATTTACATATTCTGCTTCAGTATAGAAAACGGCAGCTTCAATGACAAAGTTCCTCATTTAGGATATCAAAACCATCAGTTCGGTATTATCAACATTCTATTCATCTGATTTTAGAAGTACTCTGACAAAAAATATTCAGCCATTTATTCACAGATAACAGAAATAAACTATAAATTAATACTTGTTTTTGACAACCTAATGTGTTTTGATAAAATTACAAATTCATGATTTTTCAGGTAACTGCTGTCAAAACTTTCAGTTAGTAAGAGTTAATATTAGATTATTTTCGAACCATGCCCTAAAATAACATCAAAGCTCTTTCACTTCCAATTGAATACTGGCTATAAATTAAATTATCTGAAAGAAAAATTTGTTCAGTCTATTCTCAACTTACCCACACTATAGGTTAATGGACTGATACCTATCAAAAAACAACTACTTCCCTGGCAGGAATTACTTCTGTAAAGAATCCTGCACCGACATCTGTCGGATATAACTCAACGCTCTTCGTGGCATTAGCCAAAGGAGTAGGTGATTTCTGATACGTGTCAGTCCATTAACTTACAGTGTGGTAGGGTTGAGACTGGCCTGAACAAACTGTTCTTTTAGATAATGTGAACAATTAACGTTTTTCTGGGGATTTAATAGGTAGGAATGATTAAAATGATTTTATGAGTGAATATGAGAAATCAGTCACAGAAAACAATTTCCTTAAACTCAACCCACACTAATTTAAGAACATAATATTCTATTATGATCGCTATACATATTCATTAGATTTTACTATTTGTAATTTATAGTAGATTAATTATTTACATGACAGATATCGATNGCCCTAACACCAAACTGATATTTTTGCACTCGACGCGCGTTTCGCCAACAAAGTTAGCATCCTCAGAAGAAGAAAATTTGATCAATTTTCGCGTTTCGCCAACAAAGTTAGCATCCTCAGGAGAAGAAAATTGACCAATGTTCTTCTCCTGAGGATGCTAACTTTGTTGGAGTCGAGTGCAAAAATATCAGTTTGGTGTTAGGGCAATTGATCTCGAAAAAAGTTATTCAACTTTTACACCAAAGGTTCCAATCTCATCGTTATATTAGTTGATAATTGTTCTTATTATGAATATTGTCTATTTACATATATCGAGACCAAAGTTTGAACTTTGAATGAAAATTAACTCTCTTGGATACCATACACCACTGTTTACTTCCACTTACCACTCGTTTTGTAAAACATTTCAAAAAGTTCCATAGTAAAAATGGGATCCGGCAAATCTCTCAGCAATTTTTTGAGTACTCCAGTGAGTTCATGAACAGTGGCTTGACTGAGCAAATTTTCCACTTCCTTCCTATTGTTATAAAATTTGGTTTCAATTTCATTACATAACGCTTCTAATTTTTGTTTCTGTCCAGCAACTCGAAGTATACCATCTTCAGTCACACACCTTATATTCAATTGATTAAGTATACTTTGAAAAATTTCAGGCACCATTGAAATATCTGATGGTCTTGGCATATCTCGCATCACTAAGGTTGACAAATTCACACCAAAAACATTACCTCCTGAAAAATGACTAGATGAAAACAATAAAAGGTGAAACTGGCATAGTCAGTTTTTCCAATCACCAGAAAAGCAATACTCTTTTCGACGCATGTTTCACCAATCAAGTTGACGTCTTCAAGAAATGAAGACGCCAACTTGGTCTTCAGGAGATGAAGATGCCAACTAAGATGGTGAAACGCGCGTTGAGAACAGTATTGTAGTTCTGTTGATTGGGAAAAGTTGACATTATTTTCATACTTATATATACTGAGTATGAAAATATTTGAGGAAGCTATGCACACGTGCTGTGGTTTTGTAAACTGCCCAGTGAAAATCTCACTATAAATTGTTACTTGAATCAGTATTAAATCATTGTAATTCACGTTGTTCTGTCTGAATGATTTGGTTCTGTGCTGAAAAATCGGTTATTTCTTCACCAATAATGGCTTTGATGATGTTTGTAAGGGCAACGATATTACTTTTGGGGAAATGGAGTTGTTATCTGGTGAGAAGCTTCTTGAATTACTGAAAGCAAGTATGAAGTTTTCATATATGACATGAGTAGATTTAACTCATTCGTGACATGGAGTTGTAATTTTATGAATGAATCAAGTGCTTCATCTCATGATGTTATTCAGATTGTTGCTGAAGAGGCAATAAGACGAGTGTTTTATTCCGAGACATCGGACGTCCGCCATTGAGGATGACAGTGTTCCATGTAAGTGAAATTTATACCTCTATCTGATATCTGATTCGATTCCATAAAGAATTTTATGGAATTGTTCATATAAAAGTAGTTGTTTCGAAAGTATTTTCTCTTTCGTGTAATTCAATGTTTACATGAAAGTAGTTTTTTTTAATTGATTCGGCCGTTACTTGATGAATAGTCCCACAAAATCGAAATTTTGAATATTAAAAAAATTTTCAACGTAGACCACTACTTTTTTCTTTTTAACCAACTTTTTTTCCAATAACAATATAAAGTGCAAAATAGGTGTCCCCAAAATTTGACCAGATACAAAGAATTACTTGATAAGAAGTAAGATTATTAAATCTCATAACTTTTCATGTGGGCTAGATTCCCTGTCAACTGAAAAATCATTAAAATCCAACCAGTCCCTAACGAAGGTGAAGGGTTGAAAAGATCCACTCATTTTGGACCTACCTATGTCGTTTTCTCTCCGATAAGTCTGTGTGTGTAGTGGTTGATGGAGTATCACCTGATTCATTTGTTATCAAGCATACCCCCAAGAAAGCACAAAGGTGCATATGACAGTATGCTTCATAGAGTCTCTTAATCAAAGCCACTCATCACTCAAGACGAAACCAATCAAATATCGCCAAAGGGGCAAATCAAAAACTCTGCTTTTTTTTTACGTCACAAGTAATTTAATTCCCCACAACCCTGATTATCTAAAAGGCATATGTCTAACAATTTCAGGAATGCTTCATTTTCAAAACAAAAAACATATATGAGGTAATATTATGTAAAAAAAATAGCCAAAAATTTGTAATTTAAAGAATGAATAATCATATTACATTTGTATTGTGATGCCTGAAGAAGCTATTATATAGGGAAACATGTGTCACGATTTTGTGAACTTTCAAGTGGAAATCTCACATTGCAGGGTGCTTTTTTTAATACATATGAATTTGTAAAATTCACAAACTTCAATGAATATCACAATATACAGATCAAAGATGAGTAGTTGAACAACTCACTTAGGTAATAACAGTCTTGGAGGAAATAAAGATGGAGCTGTAATCATTGCCACATTGTGCAAATTCATCCGATTTTGTTCTTCATGATTTACAATATTCAAGAAAAACTCTAATAGTAATCTATAAGTATTTCGATGTTCTATGGGCAGCATCAATACCAATAGATTCAAAGCTTTCACTTTATCTTCGGTACAAGGAATTTCTGAAAAAAAGTATTTCAATATAAAAACTAGAAGTGAAATCTATATTATTAATGATTATAGATCAGTCAACAACTCAGCGAAAAATTCTATTTCTGAAAATAATTATACATACCAACATTGTATGTATTGGATTGGTCCCAAATACAGACAAAATATATCACCTGCAATTGTTTCTGATGTATAACGAACATGAACAAACATGAAAATATGAAAATTTTCAACGTGAATTATTAAAAACAAGTTCCATGAACTTATTTGCAAGGATACATTTTAGAGTAAATCAGTAATTTTATTATAACTATTATTATAGATTTTCTACTACTCTTCCCACATATTAGTTGATTGAATAACTTTTTTCGAGATCAATTACCCTAACACCAAACTGATATTTTTGCACTCGACGCGCGTTTCGCCAACAAAGTTAGCATCCTCAGTCGCAAATATTTTTCTCAAACTGTGAAATGATTAGTTTTTCATTAAATTCTTATTGAAATTCTGTTACTCTCACAAGGTCAACATTGTTTTTATTGTTATAACCCAACTGAATATTCCAGGTTAGAAATAAAAATATTATTGGGTGAATCAAGGTCGAAAAAGCAGAAAGCTACCTTGTGAAAGCACTTTATAAATTGCTTTAATTTTATATACCAGCTAGATTCAGCAGTAAAACGGCTTCAACTGCTGGACACTGTTGGACGCACACATTGATTAAAAATGCAAATTGTAATAAAAATATCAAGTAATACAATGTTGTGAATGAAATAAAATATTTTTCAATTAGCAAATGATGTATTTTTTATAGTAAAAGGTGATTTTTTTACTGTGCTCTCATCGTGAATTGAAATGTCCTTGGGTTTTTTGCAATTATTTTTTAACAAAAACCAGGATGCGTCAAAGCTATTTCCCGGGTTTGTTAACCGTGATTAGTAGCAGCGTGTTACCTCATCATCGCCGTCGATGATGTCCACCGCAGTCGTGGACGAAACGTCAGCCTTAAAAACCTGCAGACCACTGCCAACAAACCCGGCGAACAGAATTAACACAGCTATCTCCGGTCGGGGGCTAGCTGTTATAGGATTTTTGTAAAAATTACTCAAAAACGGTGTCACCTGCTTTCGATAAGACCAGAACTAATGAAACACTTTGCTTGGAACTTCGAGTACCAAACATTTCGTTTGCTACTACAAGTTTCATTAGACCACGGCCTACCAACCTGGATATTGTTGCCAAAGAGAATTATTATACGTATAATTTTACACTTCATATACTAGTTATATACGATGTTTCGGCAAGATCCTGCTTGCCATATTCATGGTAGCTAAACTATCAAGCAGAGCACATGAATATGGCAAGTGGGATCTTGCCGAAATTTCATAATGTCATGATAATATATATGTTTAATGACGCTACTGAAAAAACATGAGAGAATTACCTCAGTGATCACAGCTCTCAATCGGTCATTATCATTCTGTCGTACTAATCCCTCAAAACTGACACCATCAACATGACTATTATCATCATTACTGTTTACATAAATTTTACTGCAATTATTGTAACTTGTTATACTGTTATGACTTCGAGATAATTGATTATGAAGATTATTCGTTTCTGCCCTGGAAAATAACAAAGAAGTATATAAAAAAATATTGGTTTTTCTGGAAGACACTTTATGAAGAGGAGGCTATGTTTCTTACTGTTTTTCTGGGTTTTTAATGTTCCACCATCTGAAAAATAAAAAAGTCACATCAACAGAAAATTTGCTGAATTGTAATACAGGGCAAACTGGAAAATTCACCCCGAAAAGTTACCGTGTAATATAAACCACTGAAGAGTCCTATTAACTAGTATATTGTATTTACAATTCTGCCTACAGATTGAATAATTAATGGACTCGGCATTTGTTGAGATGGTTTGTTTCACTACTATAAAAATAAAACGTCTAGGTGTCACACTTATTATCTGACAAAAGAATATATGTGAATCCTTTGAATTGTCGCATCATAGCAGAGCATATTTTATAGTCAACTGGTGATTACACAACGAAAGGAAGTGAAACGAAAATTGTCAGCAAGAATGAATATAAGAGAAAAAAACTGACTCTATGGAAATGGGTTGTACCTGGTTATCATTGCTGAAGCAAGACATTGAAAACGAAAAAATGAATCTAAAATGAATTGTCCTATAAAATCCTGTAGGATTATTTATGTCAACTATCGAATAAGATATCTAACCATTTTATTATTTTGACGTTTGATGAATATAACAAGTTACTGACTTTCTCTAAGATGGTTCACGTTCTGACATTTATTATATGACATTATATGAATATAACAAGTTACTGACTAATTGGTTTTTTCAGAGGTTTAATTATGCAGAAACTTCTCGGGATGAACTTTTCAATGTCTTCTTTATTAGGACACTTCAGTAGATTATCTATTGATTCCGCTTTGTTTATTTTTCAGATTGTGGAAGATGAAAAATCCAGAAAAGCAGCAAGAAATTAGTACTGGTATCTTTATCAAACCTTAATACATCAGAAGCATTGTCATTTTTTAATGGCTGCAGATGGATTTCGGTTGTTGGGTCACTACCACTACGTTCCCTTTGCGGAGGTCGGGGTAGTGTTCCATTTTCTGTTAAAGCTTGATATCCCTTCAATATAACATTTTCAGAGCCAGAATGTGCAACATCTCCTTTATCAGTCCTGAAAAACTTTTTGTTTTGCAAAGGTTCACTATTTGTCCATTTTATTTTCGTTTTGGTAGCAGAATGTGGATGATCCAGCGAACTGAAAAAGGAGAAAATTGTTTGTGAAAACACTAAATTTGAGGAAATAGTCTATCAGTATTTTCTTTATCTTTATTTTCAATTATTATTACAAACAGAATAAGGGGATTTGAAAGTGCCATGGATAGTGTAAATAGCCATACTGAATTACTTGTTTGTTCAGACGTGAAATGCCTAATTGAAAACTATTAAAGTAAAGTAAATTTCATACCGCTAGATGATTAGGATATGCCCATTCAGATTTTTTTACATCAAATTTGATACCCTATAGATTTATTTAATATGGCAGAACAACGATTGCTGGGTCGGCTAGTTATCAATAAAAACAAAGAATTTGTTCTTCTAGACAAACTTCTAGACAAACGCCACGAAATTGTCACAAAGATACACCGAATTTTGCAAAAAAGAATATAATTTTCCTCCTTGTAAACAGAAAAACGTTCAAGAAC